GTAAAAATAGTCAGAAGGACCATTTTCCTGGGAACCTGTGTGTGTTACTAGTGGCTTGGCAAATGAGATCACACTTATTCGCGATGTTATGAATGGTCCCTAGGTCCAAAGTCATGTTTGAACATACTAAACAGACTACTCCAATAGTTATAACTACCAACTAGTATTCACTAAAAATGATAACTCCGTTTTAGATTTTAATTTATCTATACATCTTGTCCTCTGTTGGATAATTACGAAAGTTCATGTGGTGGAACTTTAGCTTAGTATCCCGATTATCAGTAAATGTTGGCATAGTATCTCGATCCAATAATTCAAATGTCACTACTTCTAGGGAAATATGTTTAATGCAAAACATATATGAGTATGCTTAGTTTCCTAATACTAACTTAAAGTAAGTTTACATTCATAATTTTCTGTTATAAATAAACTTTGATTACTATTCCAAACCTGCACAAATTTACAAATGCTTTTTAACTCTTAACTGGGTCCATGTAAGTTGACTTAGTGCAATTGTCAGTAAAAAATCGATTCATAATAGTCAGGATCAGTTAATAACCAATAAAAATACACTAGTCCAAGAACCTAGTCATTCTAACCGTTAGTCAGTCAGTCAGTAACAACGTAGAACTTCGTACGTACGTACATCAGTTCGAGTTGCCACAGCACATTAGCACACAGATGCAGTGGTCGATCCAAATCCCGTAGTGGTAGAGGTAATAAGAGTATAAGCAGTAGTCGGGAAGATTAGGGTTTGGAGATGTTATTTAAAGAGTATAATCCAGTGAAATAAATTTGGAAAGAGGAAAAAAGGGACATGAAGAATTCAGAAGATTAGAATTTGGGAGAACACAGAGAGTGGATGCACCTGCGCCATTGCAAACGACTTTGAGCCATGTCATTCAGGGTCTCTAACCATCGGTTGCTATCATCTCGTGGTCCCCAACCAGGTAGTCTACACCTACCAACATGACTCAGACCACTTGTCAGTGACTTCATGGACTTGTGCCATGTTTTGGTCTGGCCGCCCCTAGCTTTCTTCCAACCTACTCCTATACCACTGAACATTGCCCGTCGAGGCAGTCGGTGGTTGGGCATACGTAACACGTGTCCCAGCCATCTCAACTGATGAAGTTTCACTACTTCATCAATCGATTTGCCATCCTTACCTAGTACCCGTTTCCTAACAACTGAGTTACTTACTCGATGGTCCCAGGATATACGAGCAATGTTTCGAAGACACCTATGGTCAAATACTAGTAACCTACGAATATCCTCTACTCTTATTGACCATGTTTCACTGCCATAAAGTAGGACGGAACGAACTGCTGTGCAGTAAACCCGTCCTTTGGTTGATAGATGGATATCTCGCCTACGCCGAAAAATGACGCAAGTTGGCAAAAGCTAGTCCAGCCTTCTGTATTCATGCTGAGATTTCGTCACACACCAGACCACAAGGGCTGATGAGACTTCCAAGATAAGTGAAGCGGTCGACACGCTCAACTACTTCACTCCCTATCATTAGTTCAGGTGTCGATGCAACCCAATCCTGAAGCAACATTTTGCATTTCGAGGAGGAGAATCGCATCCCGAACATGCTTGCATTGTTGCTTAGAGCGGTCATAAGACTCTGCACTTTGTCAGCGTCTTCACCAAGTAAAACTATGTCATCAGCATATTCTAAGTCAACAAGTGAACCTCCCGATAGAAGTTCAACCCCTGGAAATTTAGACGAGGAAAGTGTTATCTCTAAAAGTACGTCGACGACAAAGTTAAACAAGAATGGAGAGAGTGGACAGCCCTGACGAACACCACTTGATGTAATCAATTCTGATGACAGTTCGCCATAAGCTCTCACTCTACCAGTTGTGTTCGAGTAGAGAGCCTGTATAAGGTTAATGTACTTCTTTGGTACTCCTTTCAGTGACAAACACTGCCATAGAACCTTAAGATCGACAGAGTCGAACGCTGCTTTAAGGTCGAGGAATACTACGATTGTGGGGCGTATGAACGTGTGTCTGTGTTCTAGAACCTGACGTAGTGTGAACATGTGGTCTATACAACCGCGTCCAGGTCGAAAACCAGCCTGATTCTCTCTAGTCTGCTCTTCACGAGCTTTAGTTAGGCGTCGAAGTATTATTGAAGCTAATATTTTAGACACTATATTAGTCAAACTGATTCCTCTGTGATTGTCACAAGAGGAATTTTGTCTTTTCTTATAGACTGGCACAATCAGTGATTGAGACCAGTCAGATGGGATTACGTCCAGTTCCCAAATTCTACCTAAAACCTCAGTTAACCTCACTGCTAGTACTGAACCACCATCCTTAAAAATCTCAGGAGTAAACCTGTCAGGGCCTGCTGCTCTCCCTCGCTTCAGATTTCCTATGGCTTTTTCAACTTCATAAAGAGTTGGAGGACCTACATTAACTTGCCATTCAGATCAGCTGGAGATCGTGGGAAACCGAAGTGTGGCTGAAGGCCAATTGAACTGATCCCTAAAGTGTTCTGCCCATCGATCCAATCTCCTGGATTGAGAATGTATAATATGTCCATCTTTCTCTGAGAGTGTTTCGCTAACAGTCGGTTTCCTAATACCGGTTTCCTTAACAAGTCTGAACAATTGTCTGCTGTTACCTATTGCCGCTGCCTTCTCCATCTCTCTTGCTTTCTCTACCCACCGCTGTTCACGATCATTGCGTAGACTTCTCGTCAGCTTGCGCTTAAGCTGACTCCGCTCCTCATTATGTTCAGAGCCAAGTGGAATGAGTTTCCGAGCATCTATCAGTGCGATAGATGCTGCTGAGATCCAGTATTGCTCCCTAACCTTACGGGTTACCGTACTAGCAGATATCACTGCTGTTTCCACAGCTTTTCGGATATCATTCCATGCTGTCTCGGGGTGGGCATCACATACATGGCTGCCTAACTGTTTTCCTAGTTGTTCCTGAAATATACTCTTAGCTTGACTATCATTAAATAGGACCCTAAGAGGTTTCCTTGCAGCGTCTCTCCTACGTCCAGTAAGACACAGGCAAATACGCGCTCGCACTAGAGCACGATCTGAATCTAAGCATGTGCTGCAGAATTAGCAACAGTCTTCTATCGAGCCCCTCCATCGGTGGCTGATAGCGATGTGATCTATTTGAGTCCAACGTTGGGACGAATTAGGGGGTCGCCATGTTAAAAGATGTTTTTCCTTATGCTTAAAGTTAGTATTTGCAAGGAACAGGTGGTTATCTGAGCATAGCTACAATAGACAGTCGCCATTATCTGTTCTTTGAGCCAGGATGCCATAAGATCCACCCAGGTGTCTTTCCCTATCGCTTAGTTTACCTACTTGAGCATTAAAGTCACCGGCCACTATTACTACATCCGAGCGCATAGCTTTTCGGAGAAGGTCGGAGAGCTTTCTGTAAAACTCATCTTTTACATCATCTGCGCTGCAGTCAGTGGGAGAATAGGCAGAGACGACGAAGAGGCAATGACGAGCGTCCCTATCTTTTCGGTTCCTTACTGTTCCGTTCAGTCGGACAGCGCACAGACGACTGTCTACTGGGATCCACCCTAAGAGAGCTAGGTCTGCCCTAGGATTCAATGCTATACCTACGCCGGCGAGGCCACGGAAAGCAGAATCAGGGCTTCCAGATACACGAAGTGTGAATCGAGTCGGTTCTTAATTTTGGCATGGTGAGGTCAAATGGATGACGCTACTCGGATCCTGTATGCGCGTTTCGGAGACGCAGCATACACCGATGGCGCGGGATTCTAAAGTCCTAGCTAAGGAAGCCTGTTGTCCTATTTGGCACAGTGTTCGGACGTTAAAAGCTCCTACGTGTAGGTTAGAGCGTAGTTTCAGGAGACCAGGAATAGCGTTCCGCGTACTCGAATCGTTTGCCCTAGCGATGCGAGATGATAAAGAGACATGAGGAGGGTTAGTCATGGAGATAAGAGAGGTATTAAGAGGTGTAGGAAGGATTTGAATGTGACCAACTTGGTCTCGTGTTCTGTTACGGTTATGAGGGCTGATATCACTTCCCGGCTGCCCACACCGTGGAAGGGTATTTCTTGAGGAACCTGAAAAGGAAATTGGATTAGTGTTGGTCTTAACGACCTGGGAGCGTGACCGCAGAGCCCAAGGGACGACTGCTTGAGGCCGGTCGCGCACGGCCTTTTCGTGGAAGGTTTTTAATGTGTTAGCTCCGTTCTTCAAAGGGCCTTACCGCCGGAGACAGAAATCCGTGAGGTAAGGTGAGGTGTGACATTTTTAGGGTCGACTTTTTCTAACCCCACCCCTTCTTGTGGGAAGGCAGTATCGCTGCAGATGCTGGTTGTCTGAGGGAAACACCTTACTGCTGTCACACCTCTCTACAGTCAGCAGTACGACTTCGCCCTCAGACCTTGAGTTGCTGCTTTTAGTCTTACCGTTCTCCAATCGACCTGCCTGGCATGGTAGAACCTACAGGAACATATGTTCCAGCCAATATAGCTCGGTTGGGTCATCACGATAGGCAAGCCCGACCACCGCGTCAAGGTAGCAGCTTCGGTCGGGCTAACTGTTACTATCTTTCGAATAATAGTTCTAACTGTTACTATCAAAGAACTATTATTCGAAAGATGGAAACTACCACATGGATATCGTTCTGCTGCATATTTATGGCAGCCTTATGGTCATTCATACTACTACATTACTTAAACTACTATCAGAAACTCCTTAGAAACGGCACACTACTCCATTCACCTACTTTAGCAATCCCTAAGTAGGTTCTCAGCGCTGGTGTTTTCTAATATATTTGATTTTTGGTTTTAATACAAACTTTTGTCCAACGGAAATTAGTAAGTTTTTCGTTCTTATTTACATAGTATTCGGTACTAGTAACCTAACTGGTCAGTGATTCTTTTTCTACAGCTCTGATTAAAATAAGCAATGGTCATCCATTTTGTACTTGTGGTTTTAGATAGTTGAAGCTATTACGACGATCCTGTAAACAGCTGTAAAGATGGGTAAACAAAAAACCAAACAAGATGAAGACATATGTCTTGAAGATAATCCTAATAACCCCACGTTTGAAACAGAGAAATCACCTAAAACACCGAAAATAGGTGCACGTAAGCACCATGATGAAGCCAAACCTGTCAGTCACAATGACCACAACACATCTCTGTCATCTAATAAAATTAAACCAAAAGGTGAAACAGTTATTGTAAAAGAGTCTAAAAAAGATAAAAAGCTTAAACGAAAGCGCAGTTCTAATGCTCGGAGCGATAATGCTATTCTTGATAGTACTGAGTTCAGTTCTGAGATGAGAAAGGAAAGTGTGTCAGAATTACCGTTAAAAAAGAGAAAGCATAATTCTACGTCTAGTGGTCAAAACGAATGCGATTTAAGTAATGAAATTACTTGCCATGGGGTTGTTACACCTAGGCTCAAAACAAATAACGAAGCCTCTTCGGAACATAAAACACAAAACCACTGTTCTGTGTTGAATGTTCATCCTAAAAGCACCTCTGGTGACCAGAAAGCATTGGAGAGATATAAGGGGGTCGAACTCAGGAAAAATGAGGCTGTAAATAAATCAAAAGGAAGGAAAAGAAGAAAGGACGTTTCCTCGTTAGGAATTCAAAGTCAAAGTATTTCTTCTAACCAAACGGTATCTAACACATCTAATAAAAGCAAGTTACCAGACGGTATAACAGTATCATATAACTCGTCGAAACCCAAAAGGTGCAAACAGAATGCTCCACACAAGATTGAAAAAGGAAAATGGTATCATGAATCTGAACTTTCTAATGACGAAGAATATTTCACGAGTGATGAAAGTTCTATTGAAGTAGATAACCCACAAAGTAGAAGGTCAGTTATTCTGTAATGTTACATGTCTATTACTTAAAATATTTAACCTATGATTTGATTGTTTTAATAAAATTATTAAGAATTCCAGTTAGATTTGTGTGCTCTGTGCGAATTCTCGAGAATATATTTGTACCTCTGTATTTTATGTACTAAGTGAAACTCTCGGTTAGTAAACGCCGTGAACAGCTAATGGATTTAACTTTAGGGTTAATGTCCAAATTAACAAAACCAAGGATATGGAGCATAGGTTTCAATCATGATGTTGGACAACAGAAAGTTTTGTTCCTCACAGCTTGAAGTGTATTAATGTCAATTGTAATAAAAAATTGAGTTATTGTAAATGAAACACTAGAAAGGGACACACTGTTCTATTAGAAATTTTATGTGTTCTTTTTGTCTTTCTAAAGCCTTCAACGTCAACATAGACGACTGTTAAATGAATGTTTATCAAGAACCATATTCGTTGGCAATTTACCACTGAATATTACCAAAAAAAGAATGGAAGCTCTATTTAATAATGTACTGAAAAATAACAACATTTCATCTTCAGATTGCCGTGTTGAATCCGTCAGATTTCGTGGTGTTATTCCAGTTACTGGTGGTACTAGTAGATTAGCACGAAAACGTGCAGCTATCACGGGTGAATCTTCAGGTATATATTCCTAACACATGATTTTTCTAGGTTTATGAATTATGCTTTTTGATATTGGCTAAACAGTTGAAGCTATCAACCATCAAAAATCATTTTATAGGTAGCCTAGTAATATTACTAGAGTTCATTTGGCTCAAACTAAAAAGGTGGCATCAGTGCTTGAAGTCACTAACTCCTATTCTTAGCCATGTTGATAGATGCAGACTACTACCACGTGAGTATCGTAACCAATAGTTATAGACTCTGGGTGACATGGCTCAGAATCGACCACATTGGAGTGAGTCTATACACTCTTTGTCTTCCCTTAAACTATGAGATTAAAATCGCTTTATATCTTTCTTTTTTATCAACAAATTCTTTTTTTCCTGTACTATATCCTTATACAGAATCTTTATATATTGCCACCATTGAATTAACTACTTTTTTGAATTCGGTTTTCATCTTGTTGTGCTAATCAGGTATGGCAACTTAGACCGATGCATATACGTTCCTGGTCCTACATTTTAGCCGACTGACTGACTTTGGCTCAAATCTGCGTACACGAAACAAACTACTTGGCAGATGAGTCCCACTACATTGAATTAATTGGGAGGTGGTCTAACAACTTGTTCTAGAGTCTCATATACAACTGTTTGCATAGTATTCTGATATTACTATCATGGCTTTCAAAAAGTAGTATATATATATATATATATATCAGCTGCAAAAACTAGCTAAACCTTTGTTAATCATGATAAACGAGCATAAATGTTTACAGCAACAATGCGAATTAGATAAATACGTTTCTTATTTTTCCTAACTGTGTGAACCAGTTAATATATAATAGTTGTCATTAAAAGAAACAATATGCTCTTTGTTGTTTTAATTACTATAGAAGCTCGTTTATATATGACAACATAAAATCTCAGACTCTGAGTAACCGTTCTGATAAGAACAATAACGCCATTTGAATCATTGTTTCAAATCTCGGCAGTTAAATTCCATAAAGTTTAGTAATTAAAAGTACTTTGGTTAAATCTCCATCGAACAATTAGACGAGTGTGATTCATACACTAGACAAGAGATATTTGTGATGACAAGGTGGTTGGAGGTAGTCTACAGGAATCCCTAGATCACACGATCATCACACGATGTCGATTCACCTAGACTTGTGACTTTACTCCAACTTGGTTGATAGAATTCAATCTGCACTAAAAAGGACCTGACACATATGACATTGATCACTACCCAGTGATCAATCAATTGTGAAGAGATATTTATCCTCTATACAATGATGGCAAGTATGTTATCTAATAACATTTTCTTCTGTCACATAAAAAATATTCAGTTTATCTAGGATTTTGAATCACTTCAGTCAAAGAATTTATAACTTTTAAAATAACAATTAAAAACTTTCACCCATTTATCAATCACAAATAATTGGATTATCCCAAAAATCATTGATGATAATCTACAAATAATCTCATTTGTGGTGATAATTTGAAATGTATTTATTTAACGAAAGGATTATTTTAACTATACTCTGAATGTTATTTATTTAACGTTAGTAGCTTGTAATTAGTGACTGATATACGGGGTAATAAAATAACATAAAGAGCTGATGTAAACGATATCAAGAAAAAAAAATTACTAAATTCAGTGTATTGAATAACTCATAAATTTTGAAAATTTATTTATTCTACAGGCAAATACAATTATATAGTGAGTTAAATGAAATGTATACTGGTTATTATTCACTTAAAAAATTTATATTATCCTCTTAGTGATCTTAATAATCAAAGTATTTTTTCTCACGTATATTAATGAAAATCAGGTGTTTCTAAATTTCGTATGGGTTATGTTGTTCTAACAACAAAGATCGGTATACCAATTGTACTTTCCTTAAATGGATGCTGTTTGAATTCGGATGGTTTTATTGTGAATCCGGAAGAATCAATTAATGTTATTGGTGATAAGACTGAATCTACCAATAATGGTAATAGTAATAATAATACTAATGACGTATATCATATTCGAGTTGACAAAGCAACTGATAATAATGATAAAACACATTGTACACTAGATAATTGTGTTTTTGTGGGCAATCTACCATTCGATTGTAATGAAGAAGAGGTTAGTTTACGTTCCTCTTTAAAGTATGAATTATATATGTAATAAATTTGTAAAGATTTCTTTGATGTTTATTTTCTTGAGATTTCTGATTTGTTTTCTGCGATTTGTCTAAAATGAATTAAACAATGGAGTTTTTACATTCATAATTGAGTATCATCATGTGCTTGAACGGTCCAGTCGCAATCTGATAAATCGTAAAATATTATTCCAGTCTGTTAAGTTTTCTAACTTGATGTGTAAAATAATTTTTATCATGGAATAACATCGATCAGAGATTTGGAGAAAAACAAGAAGTAGCGAAAAGCTAGTTCACAGAGAAAAAAGTCCTCAACATCAGTCACTCTCGTTTATTGTGAAGCCAAGTATAAAATAATAATTAATTCCAACAAAATTAAGATCGAATTGAATCGGTGAAGTTGTTCATCGTTGAAAATATTATTCATCCAAATTAAGCGGAATGATTCAAAAGTTGATGGGGTCAGTTAATTGTGACCATTCACTAAAAGCCTTCAAAGACATTTATAATATTACTCGTTTTCTACCCGCTCAAAAATCTAGACAACCTATTTTCCAACTGCAAATATCGTGATAAATGTCTTTGTTTTAAATTTACTTAAAGTGATAAGTATGTATAATGTACTTCAGTCCTGTCATAAAAAACCCACAATTTTCCCCAATGCTTAATACTGTAAACCTCTATCATAAGCACCATTCTGGTTAGTATATTTTTTTCTTTGTTCATCCTTTGAAAACTCAGAGACCTTCACTTTAGAATTCATACATCATATAATATGCTAGGGACATGTCCAACAATCTTACCGATGTAAATAGACTACAGCTAATCATTGTATATATTCATATGTTGAATGAGAATAAGACAGGAATTTTGTTAAAATATTGCACATTCTCTATTGAGAATTATGTACTTTAACTAAATATATAATATTAATTAACGTAAGCATTACTGTTATTATGAGCGAAGTAGGTCTTCAATCTTAAAATGAATAAATTTGTGATAAGAGTATTGTGTGAAACCCACTGTACATGACCACAACTCAATCAGATAACATGAAATAGCCAACATTAGAGCTGATTTTGTAAAAATATTTCCATTTTAACATGTAAATCTATATAAATTCATCGTTCTTTCTTTTATGTGCTCTACATTTTTATTTCATAGATTTACAGCACTTTGTCTACATTAGGATCAATAAAAAGTGTCCGTCTAATACGTGATTCTCAAACTGGTGCTGTACGTGGATTCGGTTATGTAGGATACAACGACCCATCGATTATACCATTAGCTATACGTTCATCTAATACATTGAGTATACGTGGGAGACAAATAAGAATTATGGAGTATAAAGTGAAGAAAACTAAAAATAAAGAAGGCCCTCAACAGATTAAATTTCATCGTCATCGTCACGATAAAAATAATAAAATATTCAATACTGATCCGAAGAAAAAGGGTAAACGAGAAAAAAAGGCGATAAAGAGGGAAAAGATGAAGGGACAACAACCAGTCAAATTAACTCATAGTAACACTGATGATGGCAATAATAAAAAGATGTCAGAAAATAATGAAGTGCTTTTTAAGAAAAAAATACACAAAAAGAAGAAAAAGTTGAATAATATGCACAAAAAATAAACTGGTTAGAAACTGAGAAATTAATAATGTAAATGTGTATATGTATATTTTAAATATAATTTATACCATAATTTATATCATGTACATAATGTAACGATGCATATTGCATTAAATAAATAACTGATTGTAATTAGACTTTGTATTTGCTAGTATATTTGGATTTAGAATTCAGCATTCATTGTATATATATATATATATATATATATATATATATATATATATATATATATATATATATATAAAGAGAGAACTTGTTTTGACTTTCATGTGGAGTCGTATTCATGAAGAATTTCATTTTTAGGCAAGATTGATATTTATTCCTCCGACCTGTTATCAATGGCTGTTTAGCCAATCTTAGCCCGTGGCGAAAATTGTATCTAAACTTACGATAACATAATCACAATATGATTTTATTACTGAATATCCTTCGATATTTTAAACTTGATTAATCTCACACCTCGAAGCTTGCCATAAATCAACGATGAGTTAATGGACTCTGTAAATGGTGAACTGTTGAGCTCCGATCGAAATTACTATTTAATCTTCAGAATAATTCGTATGATAAGTTTAATAGATCTACTTTAAATATCCATGTTTAAGTAAGATAAAAAAACGCGAATTTTATTATTGAAAACTATCTGAGATCTCAAATATGTTCCATAAAGATGTCGAATCTTTAAAGCAGGATAAACGACCTATATTTGAATATTGCATAGACTAATATATTTAATGGTGACATTCTTTTTACCGTCATTACTACTGTTCCAGATATGGCTTAAATTTCTTATCGTGCATACAAAGAAAGGAAGAAAAAGTCATCGTAGTATTAAGTAATGCACAAATAAATCAATCTAGCCAAACTCAATTATGTGAAAGTTTGACTTTCCAATCTAACCAATTTACAGTATTGTATGTTTCGATATCAAGGTTTAACTTGAAAATTTTCAAATAATTTGAGCTTTGTGTATAAAGTTAGTGACAAAATATTATATTTGTGATATCATAAGTGATGGAAATTCGGATTTCTGACGTATTTATTTACCCTGAAGAAGTGTCCTGCATTACGTCAATAAATCCAAATTCCTAAATGTTGGGAGACTACAAATACATCGTTATTTTATTGGTAGGAAGTGTGATTTTGATGGAGGTTACGTAACGAAATAACTTAACAGTGACTTCACATGATATTACCCGAATACTAGTTCTTGGTATCCAATACCATATTCTGTTTACGGGGAGATATATACCTGACAGTATGATACTCTAGCTGGTAAAATATGTTTGGGGAAATTATTAGTATAATATTGTGAAGTATTCTACAATTGAAGAACATATGCAACTCAAAATAACTGTCAACCAGTATCAAAGTCAGGATCTTCAATGCGAACGTTAAAACAGTTCTACTGTATGGAGTTGAAACTTGAAGAACTACCACAACCATCATCAAAAATGTACAGATATTTATGAACGATTGTCTACGCAAGATACTCAATGTCTGCTAGCCTACTGTGGGAGAGAACAAACCAGCTTCCAGCTGAAGAGGAAATTAGGAAAAGACGCAGGAGGTGGATAGTATATACATTGGGGAAATCACCAAACAGCATCACTAGGCAAGGGCTAACTTGGAATCCTGAAGGGAAGAACTCACTGCACCGGGAATCGGAAGCAGGAACCAAAAGGACGAAGAGCAACTGGAAAGGAATGTTCAGGACAGAGTTCGATAGAGAATGTTGGTGGGTGGCCTATGCTCCTCTATGAGGGGTAACATGCATAAGTAATTAATTATGAAGTACAGTGTAGATTTTGAAGTCATAAGCTATACCACCACTAAAAACTGGGAAGCACCGGACAGCTGTTTTGTCCTAATGCGGAGCTCGTCAGCACCGCGGGTCCCGACCCCTGGGATCAAACCTGGAACATTCCGTCTCGCATATAAACGTCTAACCACTGAGCCATCACCCAAAAGTTTGAACGTCCAACCTCAATCAGTTCACGGTATTGCGCGATTATCCCTTATTGTCTGAAGTGGGTAACTGTCTTACACCTGACATGGTCAAGCTCCACTGATCACGGCTTCTTACTAGAACGTTTTGAAGCTATTTATTTGTGAGCACATGATTATTTATCAGTATGCAGCTTTTGGGATGGTGAAACAGCTGTTCAGTGCTTCCTAGTCTTCAATAGTGGTCTAAACAAGATCAATTTGTGATTTACAAACTATGAAAATTCTATAATCTCTACAAAACCCTATACTTATGTGCTCAGTAGTGACTAGTTTCAAGACGTAATTCCTAGAGTTCTAGTAAGAATCCGAGATCAGTGGAGTTTAAGGACCACGCGGACATAGATACTGAGTCCAGTGGGCCACATACGCAGAATTTTAATCGTAATACTGACAAATATCATTTATTAATTTCAATCAGTGATAAGCAACGTAGAACTTGGCATATATGTACATCGCTTCAATTTACCACACCCTATTAGCATGGCAAGATGAAATCGCCAAGGCAAATTTCAGAGTAATATAGGTGGTAACAGTACTGTTAGTAATAGAAACGATAAGACATCGAGAAGGGAATACAGATTTGCGAAATCAAAGATTATAGTGATTTAAAAGCTTAGGATCTAAGGGAAGATGGTGAATGTACCTGCGCTAATGCAAACGATTTAGAGCCATGTCGCCCAAAGTCTTAACCATTGGTTACGATAATCACACAACCCCCAACCAGGTAATATACACCTCCCTACATGATTCAGACTAACAGTCATTGTTTTCATGATCTGATGCAACGTTTACTCACAATTGTCAACGCTAACGATGCTACTCTATTTATGTGATAAGTTTACGTGCAAAATCTCTTTGATTCTGAAGCTTGTTCTCCGTCAACGTCGCATGTTTGAAGCATTCTTTCAAACCATTGTGACTTCGAAGGTCTAATAAATCCGTCTGAAGATCATGATTAACTACCTTAATCCTAAGAAAACGTGGAGCACTCAGCTAATCAAACTTTCATCTTAGTACTTAAAAATCCTCAAAACGTGAAGAACTTACCTGTGTTAGAATTTGGTAGTTATATTCCTAAAATGCCAGGAAGACTACTTTTATGTTGAGAAACAAACGTAGTTGAGTTCCTTAAACTGCCAAAATAACACCATTAACTTTGATTTTAAACATATTGACTTCTGAGTAAAGTACACTGATCAAAACATCACTTCAAGATTTTCAATTCAGCTTACATTTCTAAAAAATCTCGAAAACTGTCATTCGTCTGTCTCTGTCTTAGTTGCATTTTGGACACTGAAAATAACTAACGCTAATGTGACTTTGTGAAGAAACAATCTGTCTAGTAAAGAGTTAGTAATTAAACACTATCCACACTTCACATTGGATTAAAATTGGAAGATGTAGGGATCATTAAAATTTGGCCTTTAAAATGTATACCAGACAATTAACAGTCATTTTACGATAGACATAGTACACGTTGATGAATGGTCTTCACAGTTATCATAACCGAATCCCACGTTGATCTCAATAAATAATTGAAATGGGTAGTGGAATATTCACTGATTAAATATTCTAGTTTTTTTTTAAAAATTGGACATAAACAAACCAGAAAAGGAAAACTCAGGTATCTTTTTTCCAACGTATACATTAAATTTATCATACTATCTAAAAAATCTTATAAATGTATCAAAAACAGGAGATAAATTTAAACAGGAGACTTTTAACACAGCATATATATATATATATATATATATATATATATATAAAACAAAACGATGAAAGTGATGGCAAATACGCGAGAGAGAAAGAGAAAAGGATGATCTTTTATACAGAGGCAATATTCGTTGAAAACCTCAAGTGTAAGTGTGCATATAATATACAGTATGTTAAATATGAATTACAGCATCTTTAAATAAACAAAATCGCGAAACTGATTGTTACTATCACTATTATTATTATTACTACTTTTTTAATTAGTCTTCAGATGATGTTTCCATGCCTTCTGTGACTTCTTCTTCTTCAAGTGTTTCCCATGATGAGTCATCATCACCATCATTTGCTCGACCCATGGCTTCATTAGACTCTGCCTGAGAATCTGTGAGAACGTTTTCAGCATTTAAAATAGGATTTATATCATTATTGTTCGTGACTTCATCAACATTAGCAGACTCTGTGATGTTCGAATTCGCCTCGGTGCGTCGACGGCGTGTACGTCGTCTTCTAACACGTTGTTCATTTGAAGATGGGCTCCAATCACTTGAATCACTGGTACTTATATCATCTGAAGATTCATCAAGTATTTGGGCAAGTTCGTCAGAAGCATCTCCATTCAATAAATCATCATCATCGTCGTCATCCTCATCATCATCATCTTCATCATCCTCTTCATCTTCACGACCCTCTTCATCATCGTTGTCAGGTTCACGCTCCCCCTGAAAAAAAATGACGATTCAAATATTCGAAGTAATAATTTCTAAATGGTAGAGAATGTCACTAATCCAAGGAAGCGTTTGGATTGAAGTGAGGTAATATCATGAAACAATGAATTATTTAATAATTTATGATTACTCAATTTTTGGTCAAATTAATCCATCATAGTTCGTGATACATCTATGATTGTGCAGCATGAAACTATGCTATTAGAATTGTAAAGAGTTTAACTGGTGGATAGTTGTCCTGAAAACCAGCATAATGATGAACTAATCTATCAAATAGTATGAATACATGATTCTAGATGGTGAAGAGGTAGCTGAGTGGTTCAGTCGCTTGGCTTTCATCAACCAGCAGATCTCAGGACCGAATTGAACTTCACAGCCGGGTACATGTACATGAACTTAATCAATTAATTAAATTATTCTCAAAATAGAATTATAGCGGGTGACACAAACACCCGAATAGGTAGCTTTAGCCAAGAAGTAGGATTCCTGGATAAAGCTTTTCACATTGAAACCTAGCGAAAAGACAGTGGTTTATATCTGTAAAGTGCCAACTTTAAATACATAAAGAGACATTGCTTGACATGATGACATCTGGGACAGACTAAGTGCTGGACACGAAATACTCTACATACCCATACCAGTCACACCTGATATTCCTTAAAAAAGTAGTCAGGTTTTTAGCTTAACATCCACTTTCGTGAATATCACTTTATTTAAAGTGAAAAACGTGTAAATGAACATCAGTAATAATAATAGTAATCAGGAACTTACGCGTTTACGACCAATCATGTAAATTCTACACTGAGTGATAGGCTCACTACTGTTATTTTCTCCTATTTTCTCGACTAGTGCCAACGACTGTCCTGCAGTATCCAAAGCTAATTGCTCAATTCGATGACGAACATCAACTGAAGCAATTAGGCTATAGTCTATAGCATCGACTGTACGAAACATATTTTGCATAGCTAAACGACTACTGCCTAATTCAGCATACTCTTCATCGTCTAAACCAAATATTCCTAAAATAGTGCACAAAATCAACGTTAAGTTATATATAGGGTAGAAATCATTGCTTGGAAAAATAGAGATTTACATAAACCTACCGGCGTATATTACATCATATGAAGCGTTGAATTGTACTTCAAGTCGATCAAGTGGTTGGATAGTATGCAATAATCTCCATGTTCTTAAATCCCATACAGCTGAACCAATAATGATTTCAAGCCCATTTGGATGAAAAACACCTGATACAATATCTTGAAATTTATCAAATTTATGTATAGGTCGAGAAGATGTACCAGGATATTGTAGTGAACTGGAGAAACTAGTTGAAAGTAATCCAGTACATCTTAGATCCCAAACAACACCATCATTTAATACTAAATAATCTGTTGGTGAGAATGTTGCCTTATTTAAAATGTATCCACTTTGTTTCACAGCAGAGAATAAATCTGCAACACGAGTTCTAGTAGTAAGATCAAATACCTGGAGGTATTGAGAAGTAATTTAACATGATTAGCGTAATTCATAAGAGATGTAAAAAAAACAGTACTGCTTTGACAGAATAAACCCACTGTATCTCAACACATATAAAATACTACTATAAAATTATACTGATAGAGAATCGACGTATCACCTCCTGTACTCTATATTATTACAGTTCAATATACAAATCAGGTGTCCACCCTAATTGTTTTAATTATACATCTTTTGTGCTATTCAGTCTTACATTATGATTTTCGGTTGTATTAAAAATATTTCTCTCAACTTCATCAAATAAATTATGTTAAACCTCAATGTAGAATGAATTATTACTTTTCTTTGTAATTTTTAGACTGTTTGTAGCAGATGAGAAGCTGTAAAATAAAATGAATTCAATTGTCCTCTTTTCTTTGTTGAATCACATCATTTGTTGTTAAAAAATTAGGTATTATTTGATGTTTATTATTGTATTACTACTGAATCATTCTTTACAACTCTCTCGAAATGAGCTGTAAAGAAATAAAATGACAAGCAATTCTATTACTGATGTTCTATATATTCGCAACGATTTGTTAAGGATTGACAATAACACTCATCATGATTATCATACACTGGAATTTGTCCATGCTTAGAAAATATTGATATACTTTCAATTTTTAACTAAGATAATAATTATTGCTTAGGTAAAATGATTGGCATTACAGTGTAATGGGCTTATAAAAATTCTTGAATTTCATAGTTTACATCAGAAAATGACTTTAGTTAGGTAACCATTCAAAAGTAAGGAACGCTAGATAGATATTTTATCCTAGTATAGGATAACTTGCCAATCCTTCCTTGATTTCCAAGTAGTTATATAATACAGGTCGGTTCTCGATGTTAACTGTAAAAATGACTATCATATAGAGTCAAAAAAGAGGTAGACAAATATACATATTTTCTAAATACCTAAAAAGACTGCTTTTTCTGTAAATCAGTACTATTGAAAATAATTATTCTCTATTAAAATAAAATTGTGCTTTATAATCGATTTCAATGTGTGTTATTACAAATGAAAGAATCATTCATTGACAAAAAGTACTTCTAAATACGCTTATAATTAAACAATAATAAAAACCAATTATTTATTACAATCAAATATAAACCTTAGCCATTTTTCCATAGGTTGCTACCAGACGATCTTGATGACCTGTATTACTAAATTCTGCATGACGAGCTTCTGATACACGAAATCTTCAATTTAAGAGAAAACAAATATCAGAATTATAAATAATGAATGAATTAATTGATCTATAGTTAATTTATGAATGATATAATTATAAATCCATGATATTTTGTATACAAGTGAAGTTAGAAAAGGTGCAAAATATCGATCATTTTTAATAACTTTAAGAAAGTAGAATTAATTTCAAGCTAATTAGAATGCAATGAACATATATGAATAATTTATTACATAATCCTCTCCACATCAACAAAAAGGGAAAAGATTTAGATGTTTGGATTAGGAACTAGGAGTGAATAGTAATAGTAAATAATAAAATGAATGCTTTGTAGATATATTGATGAATATCGGTGTTGTTTGTTTTTCAATTAATTTCATTCATTAAAAATATATACAGTTTAATTATACCTATTTTATTCTCTCATGAAACACTAATCCATTTATTGTCATTTTAAAAAATTGAACAAGTCCATCTATTATATTTAGTCTCACAATGTTGACCAATTTTAAGTACATCAGTTGATTAAATATTGATAGATTCTAACAAGTATTTAATTGTTGATAAGACACAAGTCATTAGTGATCACACTTTGATTTAGTGTATAATAATTCAATAGCTACTATCTTAAATCTGAATTATTCGCTAGTACAGCATAAATTTACTAAGAAGCTTAAAGAAATGGAAAAGCTTCTTTATTAGTCTTGTTCTTCTAAACTCATTGGAACGAATAGAAACTATGCGTCTATAATATACATTACTATCATTATTGTTATCGTTATTATTATCATTATTATAATAAATAAAACGTAAGAGAGTAGTCCCATTTTCATATAGCAAGATTTTGAAATGATGATGAAGATTTGTAACAAGGAGGTTGTTTAAAACAACAACTCAATCAGTCACAACTTATAGAATGTAATACTGCAAAACAATTTAACAATATCTTAATGAAAAGTAATTTAAAATGATGGAAAACCTCTATCGTTAAGCTTTTTTTTCTTTGATACTCAAGATATCAAACTCTGTATTCATTAAACACGAATCCTCAAAAGTACACATTATTATATTTCATGAGATTTCTTTATCTGGATGAATCAAAATTTTAATGTTAAAACTCAGAATACAATACTTCAGAAAATTATCACTATTGGGCTAATTAAGTTTAACAGAGATTAGACATTGAACATTTATATCAATGAATCTTGATACAACGATTTATAGATATGTAGTTAACTAATGAATAATAACATTGTCAATACTCATTAATACATAGATTCTTGTCTTCATTCTGAACTCTTAAAACAATAATGTCTATTAAGTAGATTAGATAAATTCAGTCGTCTAACACCATCATGCAATGATGTCATTTTAAGATCAATTAATCTAATCACTACGAAACAAATAAAATTTGTAAATGTTAAAACTAATAATAGTATATTTGGTATGCGATTGACGGTGGAATCTATGACGGGTATTTCATTCTCTTTAGGACTCAGTATTTGAAAGCACCTGTATACCATTGCTAATCTTCACACTGAGATTTGAACCCAGTGCCTTTCGCTTCAAACGCCTGACGCGTTATCCATTGATTTACTGACTTTCGATAGTTATTAACCTGCTAAATGGATATTTAATATAATCAACATTATTAACATTAGTATTTCACCATAAATACATGGGTATGATTATATTTGACATACACAAAATCATCAGAAACAGTCTCCCAAGGACTATTTGAATTCGAGCCTGTATTTGTGGATGGTTTAAGTCTAGCAACAACCGTAGCAGGTTCATTCCATTCAGAACAAACTAATAAGCGTTCACCATCACGTGTATGCGCCAAACGTCGAATAGATGAAGATTGTATATGAAATAATTCTATGGGTAAACCATCTTCTTCAACATTAACCCATGCAATAGCTCCTGAATTCGAACCTAAAAACAGACCATCATCTGTTCTCTAAAGAAAAGCAACATAAGAAATTGAATTATGTATTTAAATACAATTATTTTAGTAAACAAAACTCAGTGCTACTACCAAACGTTTTAAGTTATATCCAAATGAGGAGATATGAAGTGTGTGTAAAGTGATTTGACATATCTACTTTGATGAATGATTCACAAAAAACAGACACACACCAAGATATTGTAACTAAAAAAAAGATAAAAGTAATTATTTATATGAATACGATCATGAACAATTCGTCATGGAATTAAACCACCTCATTTTACCGCTACATGGAACAGATTGATAAAACAACGACCAAATAAATGTATTGGTCTATCGTTGAATTTATTCTACGTAAGCCATTTTGAAAGTCCCTTAAACCCAAAAGCTACTCTACACACCTGTTTCATCCAAGTTTCAAACTCTTCAGTTTTATTATTAGTCACTGATGAGTACAGATTTGTATACTTGGCTAAGTGTGAGGGCTGGTCATAGTACACAGATGCCCAAACTGAAGTAGGTGGAGAGCAGTTTGAACTTAAGACTGAGTAGTTGATTTGATTTGAACACATAAATACTGGTACAAGGAGGCACCAAATACATATGCACCACACAAATCTCATTTGACTTATGTGAGGGCTGTGATACTGCCCAGGTGCCCAGACCGAAGCAGGTTGTTTTCTTAGGGGGCCACACCCCGAGCCTTTGACCTAAAGGTCTAACCCACAAGGCAGTGGAGCATCGTGAGGAGATGCAGTCCCATGGTAGCCGGTGACCAACGATTGGTTCATACGCCATTTGTTCCCGCAGGATACTGGAGCCCATGTGCACCATTGGTTTGGAATCCGGTTAAAGCGCCGGACATTCGCTTTTCGTCCTCTCAATTTCGTAAACAGCACCCCCACCACGAGAAGGCAGTGAGTAGGACTTCCCTGGCAGAGGCTATATACGCGTGGCCAAGTGAGAGCATTTCGAGAGGGAGAGCTGACTCTTCTCACTCTCGGCGGTACCAGAGCATTTGGGGGCTAAGATTAAGTATGTGAAAGTCGAACCCCTTAACCACTGGGACGTTATTCTACAAAATCTCTAGTAATATGTACACAGAATATATGAAATCCATACCACAAAGAGCAATATATCACTCCTTATCCACTGAGTGAAGATCGGTTAATCCATATCTACCAACTTCACTCGGTTTTCATTACGATCTTCAACATAGTTACATCTGTGTTTAATGCTGTATACAATACTATTGAAATGGTTTAAAAAGAACAAAACAAAATATGTATTTATTTATTTATTTAATTGCTTTCTTTTATTAAGATCTTATTCTGTAAATCTGTCTTAATACAAACACCAACTTTCCTGTTATAAAGAAATGAAATCCATTGAATGTATAACACTGTAAATTCAAACTTAACTGGAAGAAATCTAATAATGAAATACAACTGTCTACTCTTACAAAACAATTAATTAGATATTTTAACTGATAAATCAACACATCAAGTGTAGACTTATGTTTTAGTTTCCTAACTTAATGAGAATTATTTACCAAGTACAGGTAAATTTATGTACTTTATATGGAAAGGCTAATAATATTATTCGACTATCTAATTCTAATTAAGTGACATACTGGTTGAAAGTACTTTAACTCCTAAACAACTGTTTTGTTTGAGTAAAGACAATTGTCATAACGACCGGAAAAGCATTATTATATAACTGAAAATACACATTAAAAAACGCTGTACTTACCGAAAAACAACATGCTGTTAACATATCATCATCAGCCTCTCGGATAACTGCAGTTGGTTGAAATCTTCGATGTAAAAAGTGTCGAAGTTCTTTTGTTGATGGTTTAAGTCTTAATGAACCACAAAGGTCTTCACGTAGAAGTAAACGTTGACAACAATTAGTTTGTTTATTAAGTCGAGGTTCTGGACAGCGATGTGGATAATACAAAGAGAATTTCGGGCAAACAGAAACAGGATGAGGACATTGTGAATGTTGATGCAACAGAAATGATTCTACTACTTTAGATAAGGTCATTTCCGAGACAGGTTGAGTAGATACTGGTTTGAGGTAGAGATTTGGTAGACCAGGTCTTTCAAAACGATCACGACAAGGCTGAAAAGAAATAATAATAGAAATTTAAATCAGTATTGGTTAACAAAAAATCTCATCAAATACTATCTAAAGTTACAATAAGACAACAAAATTAAGAATTTCAGAAACATCGTTATCATTTCAAGTTAAATAATGGATCAATTCGTTTGTAAATCAAAAGCAAAGAGAAAAAACAATTAGATCATTAATTTATTATTTTGTGAGAAATGGATAAAGATACATCCAATTGATTATATGTACAACAGTCATACAAATCAAATAAATCAACATATAACTATATAGGCTTCAAGTTATTATCATTATAAAGCTTGATTAAGCTTAGAAATGATTATTTTCTTTATTGTTCACTGTAGTTACTAGATCAATAAATAAGGAACCTTTCATATGGTTTTCATCTTATCATAATGACAGCAGTACAGCGATACATTTATAGTATAATGACTCAATATGTGATACACCTTCAACCCCCCTCCAAAAAAAGTCTGATAAATGAAAAGTATGATCGTGGATGAAAGCTAAGTGTTTAAAGCAATAAGTTATAATCTTAAACGAGTTATAATGATAATACAAGAAATAATGTTATCAGTATGATATGCTTAAGCCTGGACAGCTAATTATTTGCCCCAATTTGTTCCGACGATTAGGAGAAAACAGTGATCGGTGACATGATGGCTTTTACTTCTAACCATAACTAGTCACTCGTTATCCGATTTGGTTGCAATTTATTTCCCTGACTTAGGTGGTTTGGTCGTGAAGCTTTCATTGTCTCTCTAGACAATGTCATTGAGTTATGAGAATTTCATCATAGAATACTAGTAGTTTGTACTGTTGATCTTAAATTCAATTGGTTGCTGTTGATAGTCATCATTTGGCAGTATGAACATTTGTTCTGTTTATCTTTCCCTTGACCTTATTTCTGGCCTTGTAGTTATTTATGGTTTTTTCTGTGGTTGAAAAATGGCTTTATTTCAATATGGACATTGATTACTCACTGGCTTCAGTAATAAGCTTCTAAAAATTATGTTATATTCTTTGTGTTGCCCTAGTCTAACATTCCAAAATCTCAGGATTAAACCATCCAGCTCAGAAAACGTAATTTCAACAAAATTATCTTTCTGAGCTACAAAGATGCACCACTTATTATTCAATAAATAATTCAGTCACATTATCTTGATTGAATAGTTTATATATGCATGATAGATTTAACTCTTTAATTTATTCACTAAAACGGTCAGCTATTCTATTTTATGAAGTCTCTTTAGGGCTTAGTTTGACCCAACCAAATTTTGTTTTGTGTATAACACCAATAAAACATTGCAGTCATGGAAAACAAAGAGCACGACTATTGTGGCAAAGTATATTAAACTGTGAGATAACACAAATACCTTATTACAAGATCGAGGCCAGAAATATTAAACAATAAAATTTAATCGTAATATACAAACTAGTTTGAGACATTATGGAACTTAAAGCTTCTGAATAAAATTGCAGATCATTAGTTTATGTCGTTGATTGATTTCAAAATAATGATGAACAGTTACATAATCACATTAATCCAATACTGGATAGTAAGTCAATTTAATGTTGTCTAGTCATACAATGCTGACTGATTCATTCCAAATAAAGATATACGACTGGAAACTCTTTACATTTTTCGAAGTTTAAAGATCTAAGAACATTGAAAAACCGAAAGGTTAGATAAATAGCAATATTGAAATCATACAAGAAAATTGCTTACTTTCGGAGTTTGACTAGGAGTTGCATTATGGCGAATTTTAGTTAATCTCAGATTTGGAGTTGGAGGAAGTTCACCACAAGTATTGGTAGTAGTATTATTATCATTATTTGAACCAATATTCTCACAATTAGAAACTATCGAAGTTGATTCATTGGTATCGTAATCTCGTTTTGAAGAGCTATTATACGAATCAACGCTTGTGCTTAAATAATCAGAAACGTGTACAACTCCAGATGACGGTTGATATGGAGGTGTTTCACCAGGTGGTCGGCTAAAATCATCATAAAGCGGCAATTGAATAGGTGCGGCAGGGACAATTTTTAAACGAGCCTCACGTTGAAGTACTGTAGCAGATTCATACAAGCCTATAAATTACATATCAATATAAAAAAACATGAAGAATAGTAAAATTTGAATAGCTCAGTGATAACGAAAACCTCGGTTGAATAAAGTTCAAATCCAACAGAAAACTTTCCCATATATCAGATTAAAAGGTAAAAAGTAAAAGCACCGAGTTGTTAATTTCCTTTTCTTGAACGTTTTCGTCACAAGCTAAGTTTGATTGGTGAACCACTGAAAACCAGGATGCATTAGATAGTTAAACATAACACATTTGTTGTAATACCTGAAGGTTTTAAGTTTCGTTTCATTATAGTAAAGTTACTACGTACATACTATTATTAAACAATCCAATACTAAGACGAAACACCTGTTGATCAATGTTACTATTCTCAAAATAGAAAAAATATCCACATGCGACCAGTCAAATGATTTCTTGAAAATATAACAGAAGATAAAAACAGTTTTAATGCATACAACGCATTTCTATTCATTGATAAACTTCAGTGAGTAACATAAACGATTTTAATCGTTTATCATTTAATGATTTTTGTAGTATCTTTAATTTTAAGTTAAAGTTATTTTTCATTTATTACTAAACATGAATGACATTTTTCCACTGGAACAATTTTCGAAGCAAATAATCGAAAAGATAATCTGGTGCTAATTAATTGAATAACTAGAACGGGTATGATTGTATCACTGCTTTAAGGTTTATATAATCGAGGATTTTAAACCGCAAACTTTATGTGATAGATGGCAATTTTATCCTGTTACCTACAGGGGAGCAAACAGAAAGGGAGGATTTCTAAACTCTCAACATAAGGATTAAAAATTTATCTAAACGAAACTAAGAAAAATGAGTTTAAATAGGTTTGACAAAAGTAAGTAACTAAAACTAATTTATGATTGTAGTTAAAACCGATCGATTAGAGGAGGCGGTGGCTTAAAGATTAAAGTACTTGATTACACGTTTAAACCTTTATTTGACCTATTTGGTTTGGGTCTTATTTGTAAACTTATTCATCAGGTACTTAAGTATGAGTGACTCCAAGTGTCAGGGCTAATGATACTAACCGATTATCCAAACCGAATTAGGTGGAGTGAGTGTAGAACTTTGGACTTAGTGGCTAAAAGTCCAGCCCCTTAACCACTAATCTACTGCTTGTTTTGGCAGTCAGATAGTGTCACTAAAGTTTGCAAAGTCTGACTCAAAAGAACAAAAACGTCTATATCCTGTAAAATCATATTTTTATCGACTGATCAAATTACGCATCGAGACACGCTATCGTGGATCGATTTGTATTTGATAAAAGGGTCAACTGGAAAAACATGAGAAATTTCGTTGCGATATATCAAGAAGAAACTGAATACAGGCCATCAACCATGTATACGTCTGTAAAACAAACTAAAATCTTGCGGTTAGTAAAACTATCTTAGTTCTCCGCTCAATTAAAAAGCAGAGTACACATTCGTGAACTGATAGCTGGAATTCGGCCATCCAACTTATCTAGCAGCTGCTTCTCTATTGGCTAAATATACTTGAAATATTCAAATTCCGATCATTGGATCACAGGTTCAAATTGTGCTTCAGTTAGTTTAGTGTAAGCAGTTAATTAATTTCGTTAGTTAAAGCACAAAATATGTTGCTCAAAACTGATGACACAAGTATTTACTTGATTAATGTGATATATTCATCTAATTTGAAACCAAATCCATGCTGTTAAAACGATTGGAAATATCTTTGTTCAACACCAGAGATAATGTGAACCGAAATCTCTTTAGATACTTACAATAGTGAACTACAAATGTTTGGAGATAGAATAAATAATGCATTTTCTGATGAACAAATAGTATCAATAAACAAAGGACTTTTTTAATTTCTATCAAATACTAATAGTACCGAGAATAAGTTAAACTTGATTGAATAAACTAACTGAAGAACATGATTTAAAAACACTATCTAGTGATAGTAATAGTAATAATAGCGATAATCAAATGAGAATATATCTGTGTATTTTTGGAAGAGAAACTCAAAACAAGTTGCTTCAAGTATTATAAGGCTATTTCACAAGGCTAATATTGGTGCAATATCAATTAATTATCATGAGATTTTTTACAAATTGATGAGAACCTGGCATATCTCATTTTCTAATCGTTCAAAAACTAAATTAAATACAAGTTAAATGCAACACAAAGAAAAGCACAAACAATAATACGTGTATCATCTTATACTGCATATTACCTTTGCTTTGTAAATGTCGATAAATTAATTCTAATAATTCTTCTTGATCCCATTGTATTCGGGTTTTTGCGACTATTTCTGCTCGACGAACACGTTCCAATGACATATCACCCGATAAAACACCATCGGATAAATTTCCAACAACCAGACGTATAAGCATTGTAGCATAACGACAAAATTCTGCATGTTCAGTCAATCGATCAGGTAGGACAGGTTCTTTCATAAGTACTATGTAAATACATGTAGTATATAGATAGAAATTGAACGAAAAAAATATAATGAAATCTTCATTACTAACAAGTAAATAATGCACCTCACAACATTATGCAAAAACCAAGTTGATGTAAAACTGAATTAAGAGTACATATTATAAAAAACTCAACCTATACCCCATTAATAAATTATTAGTATACTGATGAGATGACTATGTCAAAAGAAAATGTAATAAACTGACTGACCCAAAGAAATAATGTGTTTTTAAAGTTCACTTACATAACAAAACTGTTCAACATAATTATGTTTAAGCTAAATATGACATGGGCTAAACACACAAGGATAAGGATTCAATTAATGACGTTATCTTGAAACCTGGCTTCAGTGGTTTGAAGATGTCTTTCAAGCTGGCCCAGATCGATACTCACATACTGACACCGACATTAGATGTGTAAGGAGAAGTGGTTTCATTGTAAAACGATGTTATAAAATGAAAGATAACGATGTTGATTTACAACTCCTTGAACACTCTTGGATATTGCGCAACTCAATGGTTCGAAATGTTATCAAACACCGTATATTGCAAATGTTGTGTACGATCTATACCTTGGTGATCTTACGTATCAAGCACTTATTTTGTGATTAAATAAAATAATATATTCGGAATTATGCAACAGTAATAGAACGCAAAACTGATTATTGTATTTATTTATGTGGTTACTTTAAAAAATAGCTTTCAAACAAATATTTATTCCGCTATAACAAATATCCATAACTAGTTGAGACAACAAAAACAGCTTACATTGTAAAAGAGCTTTAGTAAATAGTGGAAGTTTGGCCAACATACTACGAACTTCTTCAGATCGTGCAAGTCCGACTAAACCTCGACAAGCTAAAGTTCGAACACTATCAGCTTCAGATATTGGTTGTTTGGTTTCTAAATGATAAAGTAATACCATTATACCATGTTGCCGTCGGACAATATTCCACAATTTTGCTTGACGATAAAGAAGTTGAGTTGATTTTTGACGCCCGAATGGAGATGGCATGTAAGATTCAGAAAATTGAACTAAATGCGTTCCTGTTTGTTGAGATGGAGTGGATGGTTGATTAAGTCGAGAACACAAGTTTGATGAAATGGAAGATGGTGAAGATAGTGCTACGGTTTCATCATAACGACGTTTTCGGTTAACTGAACCGCGTGAACCATTTGTACGCTGCGGAGCCTATAAATTAGAATGACGAAAATAAAAGTGAAATTTATGTTTTAGAAAGGAAATCTATTCCTACAAAAAACTTGTCAATTAGCAAGCGGACCATGTAAAATAATCGGTTTTGATCAACCTTGTTTATCGGTATGTTGCAGTAAAAGAATAAGAAGACTGATAACCCAGTCGAACAACTGAAATTGTAACAAAATCATTACTCCCTTGACATAACTACACACTGAAATGGACAGTAATGCAATATACACATCCGAGCATGAAATCTATGTTCGGGTCTTTTTAATGGTTGGCTCGAACCACCACATATTACACTCAGTATCGAGTACTTTAGATCAATAGGCATATTATAAATTGGTTGATAGAATTCAATCAGCACTAGGGACTAGACGAACAGAAGATTAGTTATTACTCAATGATCAGGCAATGAGAATATCTCAATTCTACAAGATGTCAATTGTGGTCCGAACGGCTTAAGTGTAGCATTTCTGTGAATGTGGCATTCATTAACAAGTACTCGAATTTCACAGGGAACAAGAGTTTCCTCACGATTCCAGACTCTCTCTGCTGATGAACGACAATCAGTACAAAACTTAGATCTAGGGGCTCTGTCTCAACTGATTACAAACTTACTTACGCCTGTTACTCCTCGTGAAGGAGCATAGGCCGCTCACCAGCATTCTCCATCCAACCCTGTCCTGGGCAATCCTTTCCAGCTCCTTCCAGTTGTAATTCATCCTTTTCATATCTGCTTCTATTATCCGACATAATGTGTTCTTTGGCCTTCTTCTTTTCCTCTTCCCTTCAGGATTCCAAGTTAGGGCTTGCCTTATGATGCAGTTTGATGATTTGCGTAATGTATGTCCTATCCATTTCCATCGTCTTTTCCTAATTTCTTCTTCAGCTGAAGTTGGTTTGTTCTCTCCCACAGAAGGCTATTGCTGATGGTATCCGGCCAATGGATGTTGAGTATCTTGCGTAGACAGCTATTTATAAATACTTGTACTTTCTTGATTGTGGTTGTTGTAGTTCTCCAAGTTTCAGCTCCATACAGTAGAACTGTCTTGACGTTCGTATTGAAGATTCTCACTTTGATATTGGTTGAAAGTTGTTTTGAGTTCCATATGTTCTTCAATTGAAGGAATGCGACCCTTGCTTTGCCGATCCTCGCCTTTACGTCTGCATCTGAACCTCCTTGTTCATCGATGATGCTTCCTAGGTATGCGAAGGATTCTACATCTTCCAGAGTTTCGCCATCAAGAGTGATTGGATTGCTGTTCTCCGCTTTGAATTTGAGGACCTTGGTTTTCCCCTTGTGTATGCTGAGGCCTACTGATGCAGAGACTGCTGCTACATTGGCTGTCTTCATCTGCATCTGTTCGTGTGTACGCGATAGGAGGGCTAGGTCATCTGCGAAGTCCAAATCGTCTAATTGCTTCTGAGCTGTCCATTGTATGCCGTGTTTTCCTTCAGATGTCGAGGTCCTCATAATCCAGTCGACCACCAGAAAGAAAAGGAAGGGTGGAGTAGACAGCCTTGTCTGACTCTCCCCCCTCCTCTTGATTACAAACGCCACAATCAAATATATAAATGTCATATCGAAAGTACGAGTTAGTTAATCTGATCTTGTGAAACACTGAATGAGACGAATAGACAACTATTAATCTAGATCCGATAACTATGTCTCATTTTAACTTGTCACCATCACCGTCAAAAAAATAAATGAATCTGTCAACCATACATTACCTTGGGTAACCAAAGTATTTATACATATGGGAGCTATCATGACTTAATAAATATATTTGATAAAACTAGTAAAACGCTTCTGATTTTCGTTTGCAAAGCATGGAAAAACAAATATTAAAGATTAATAACTACAAAGACTAATCATTTACCTTAAATGAATTACTACTCGGTGTAATACTCGTTGGATTTCGAGGAGGCGGTGGTGACGAAGGTGCATGATTTCCCATATTTGAATTCGGTGCAGAAGTGAAATTCGATAATAAACCGGTTACTGAAATAGGTTGATCTGGATGTTCATGTTCTACAACTGGACGATAAACTAATGTGCATATAAATGCTAAAACGGCTTTATGAACCGATACATCCCAGTTGTCGTCTTCACGTGAAATACTAAATAGCATGCTGGAATATACAAAAACAATTTAAGACATAATGGACTTCTAACCTACAAAATTCACCGATAGAGTCATTCCTACTTCTAAAAAAGGTATATTGTATTTAAAGATTAGGATAAAACATACTGATACTAATAACAGTTAGAAATATTAGAATATATTAAAAACAAACGTGAAAATCACTAGAAAGTGTCACGAGAATAACACCTAGATGCGTTACGCTGGTTACCAGAAGAATAAGTTGGACAAAGGCTGAAGATGACTGTTGAAATGCGAAGTACTTGAATAGGGCTGCTGAGATCAATGTGACTTATAGTAAGATACATTAGGTGACGTGATTCAAAATCGGTTGTAGTACCACATACGCATCCTGAAAATCAACACTTTAGAAAAGCTTACAAGTAGTTGTGTTCATAAAATATTAAAGACGAGGAACTTACCACTTGTCAAGTTCCGAAACATAAAGACAGTTTTATTGTATCTCTACCCGAAATTGGTGTGTAACCGTGTCGACTGACAGATTTTGCGGTAACGAATATCATTGAAAGAATACTCTAAACTCACTCCTGAATTAAATCACGGTTAAGTTAGTTTTTTTTATCAACTTCACCTCACATAATTTTGTCTCTGATTTGTACTTAGATGTAACACTGGTATCATAGTATATTGAAAAAGAACTACGGGTGGCGAAATGCATATACGGTAACAGCCCATGAATAAATTCGTGATTGGCCTGTTTCAAGTGAAGAGATTTAAGTTTATTAATCCAAGAGACAATATAATCGATAGCCGTAGGGTTTAAGTGACGTCTTTGAATCGGTCTCAGTGACGCAGTTGCATTCACCTCTAATCTCTTGCCAGGAGATTCACTTACTGACTAAGAATACGCAGATGATATCATTTTACTTGATGAAGACTGACAAAATACAGTCTTCTGACCACCTTAAGCAACAATGCAAGTATGTATGTGTTGTAACGTGGGTGTGTGACTGCAGGATTTGATACGCAGCGTTATATCGATCGCTTCTGTGACAGTGACCCGTGACACGTAAACTTGTAAGGATGACCTAGTGCCCTGATTGGCCCTGCCTCGCTGTCTGTCCCCAGCCAGTTGAGTCAAGAACAAAAGTCACAGCCTCGGAGTTATGAATCATTATATTTCAAACATACTTTCTTTATATACCAATCAAGCACACCACATCGTACCATAAAATAGAAAACAACATTTTGTACAATATTTAACAAGTGAACAGATATCGACCAATAGGCAATGTCCATTTAAAGTCCAAGGACACCATTGGACTTAACATGATAATTATTGGTTTATTCCTCTGCATCCACAACACCTCCCCTTTTTTTGAAGATCCGGAGTTGATATCCGGATTTTGAAATTTTCTGGTTCATCCTCCCCCACGAAATAATGTTGGGTCCTCATATCCCCAAGTTAAAATTAATTTGACTTTATTTAACACATAATTGCCAGATTGAACAGAGAAGTCACTGAAAGTGATTAAATAGTGGGGAACAATGTCGCTTGATATGAGGTCATCAACGTTTGATTCTTTTGGAACATTATCATAGAATTCCTTGAAAAACTCATTTGTGGATAGTTGATCAGTGGGATAATTAACATCTATCAAAATTGTATTAAACTTCTGACCATCATTTGTGGCATCTAACACAGTTTCTGGTACAAGAGGATCTAGGTAATAAGATTCGTCAGAATCTCCTGTTGTTGAACGATGAGGACCATTTGAAACAGCTGGATTCAGTGTACTGCACGATTTGTTCCCTGTTCCGTTGTGGGCGGGTACTGCAATTAATTTATGAACATTTAATGAGAGATCTTCCTGTGAGTTGGATACATCACTGTCTGTACCCGTTTCAGGAACAGTGGGATTTGAACCCACGACACGGAATGTTTCGGAATTTGACATTTCTGGACAACTGGGCGGATCATGAATAACTGTCACGTTTACATCACTGGTCGTCCGGGATTCACAGAGGCTTTTATAGGCAGCTTCATATGTTCTGCAGTTGTTTTCCAGATCAGTCTGCAGATTAGAAATGAACTTATCAACTTCTGTTGCATTTCCGAAACATGGAAAATTTACCAACAGTGTGCGTAAATTTTCTAAAAAATTTAACTGGCTATTTTTGAAGCACTGCTGTTGTTGCTCAAGTAGAAGCTGTAATTGATCGGAAAAGGTAGTCATTTTTTTTTCTTTTCTGCACCAGCAATGAAAATTAACTGTAGGAATAATGACCAATGTTGCTCAAGGACGCTGATGACAATCTGGATGCTGATTGGTCAAAATAATTATGCTGAATCTCGTCCAATTAGAGGGTTCAAAATTTTCTCTACCCCGTCGCCAATCGTTATGGCTTTAAGTTGGGGTCGATTTTTACCCTGTGCTAATTGTTGTGTCCTTGACTGAAGAGATTAGAGAACAGCGTATAGTTCTGATTGGTCCTGCTTCCCTGTCCAGCCCAGTCAGTCGAGTCAGAAGACAAGCCACAGCCTCTGAGATATGAATCATTATATTTCAAACATACTTTCTTTATATACCAATCAAGCACACCACATCGTACCATAAAATAGAAAACAACATTTTGTACAATATTTAACAAGTGAACAGATATCGACCAATAGGCAATGTCCATTTAAAGTCCAAGGACACCATTGGACTTAACATGATAATTATTGGTTTATTCCTCTGCATCCACAACAGTATGGGATGCACTTCTCTCCCTCCAAATGTAAAATGTTACTTCAGGATTGGTTTAAGACATCGTCCGAATTAACAATAGGGAGTAAAGTAGTTGAACACATTGACTATTTCACATTTCATGAGTCTCATCAGTCCTGACGGCCAAGTGTCAGGCAAAATCTCGGCACGGATTCAGGAGGCTCAACTGGTTTTCGCCAACTTGTGTCACTTGTAGCGTAGGTGAGATATTCATCTTCCAATCAAAAGGAGAGTTTACTGCGCAGCAGTTCGCCTCGTCCTGCTTTATGGATTTGAAACATGGCCATTAACAATAGAGGACATTCGTAGGTTACTGGTATCCTATCATAAGTGTCTACGAAGCATTGCTCGTGCAATTTAGGACCGCGGAGTAAGTAATGCCTGATTCAGGAATGAGGCACTAGGTAAATATGGGAAATCGATCGATGAGGTATTAAATTTCCATCAAATGAGACAGTTTGGATATGTGTGATGTATGCCTAATCACTCCCTACTTCGATGGGAGATGTTTTCTGATGTAGTAAACTCGAACAAAGCTAAGGGTGGTCAAACCAAAACGTCTCATCAGTCTATGACGTCATTGGCAATTGAGCTGAGCCATGCTAATAGGTGTAGACTGCCTGGTCGGGATCCGCATAATTATCATAACCGATGGCTAGAGACTTTGGCGTGGTTCAACATAGTTTACAATTGCGCAGGTGCATCCGTTCTTTGTCTTCCTCCAAATTCTAGGATTCCAAATTCCCCATAACCTGTTTGTTTTTATTTCACCTGATTATATTTCCTTCTCGACTTTTATCTCTGATCCCTAATCTTTCCTATTACCACTGATACTGTTACTACCTGTACTATTCTGGGATTTAGCCTGACAACTTCATCCCTCTGTGCCAATGGAGTATGGCAACTTGAACCAATGTACATACATACAAGTTCTACGTTGTAACTGACTGACTGACTAATCTTTTTCCAAGTCTTGGATATCATCTTACTCTGTGCCTTTCTTCATAGGATTTTATATACTTGTGTTTCCTTGTGGTTAATTGTTATTTGTTTTATCATTCTGATCACAGATTCAAACCTCACTCCGACTACTTCAGTTTGAGAAGTCAGCTAGTATTACTAGAACTTATACAAATAGTATTGCTTAAAGTAGACTGCATAGACTTGTTCTTAGTATATTAGTCACATTATCACCAACTTAAATGTAACCCTAGTGTCTGGGGTTTGTAAGTTAAAAAAATAAAAATCTTTAAATACCGTCCAAACAAAAACAACGTACGAACTATATACAAAAAACATCTATAAAAATTTATCTCTAAAACACTCACTGAAGACCATTGATACGTTCGTCCAATGTGGAAGAACCTTCTGCTCCATTTTCTTCACCATCACTTGTTCGTTCTTGAGATCTTGATGCAGATTCACTGGCGAAATTCGAGACGGTGGTTGGTGTGACGTTTGATCTTTGTGGATTTTCTGTTGGTAAAACTGGATTCGATGTTGCTCCATTACTTTGATTTCCAGATCTCCTTAACACAGGTCTTCGCCTATCTTCTCGACTGATTTCTCGTCCGCTTCCGCCGATTCCTTCATTACCCACTTGCTCAACTATCTGGAGTAATTGATTAATTAATCCCCTACGATGTGTAGGATTATTTCCACGTGGAGAAGGTAAGTGAACAGTTACGTCAGCTGAACCAAATTCTGAAGACGGACTGTCGCCTCCAGCTGCTAACGATGAGAGTAATGGTGTTGGACCGAGAAATGTTGCTGAGCTTAAACTGGTAGGGAACGAATACACATCAGCAGAAACAATCTCGTCAGCTAAATCATATGTTATAGACATTAGGTTGAATATATCAACAGCCAAACGGGTGCATTCACTGCGACATGGCCAGTTGTTATGAGCATATACATTGCGTGCAATAATACGATATAATACATCAATAGCACCACAGTCTCTAAGCTGTTGAGTAGGTTGCCAAACAGTATCTGGACGAATACGAGAAATTATTAAGGACATGAGCCGAGAGAATTGTTCAGATGTATATGTTATCGGCTAGACAAAGAAAATATAAAATAACCAAGAATTTGAGTTTAATGATCCACCGCACTTGAGAAATAAACATTACAATGTAACTCATTAACTAGGTAATGGTTAGCGAACCCGGATTAGAGCTTTATGATTTTGAAAGCTAGTGATACTATCCGGATTTTTAAGGAAATAGGAGAGATGAAGTTCGAACATGCAGTACAATAGATTAAGATTTACAGTTTTAACTGTTTATTTAATGCAAAATCAAAGTAAAACAACAGGATTTATGAAATATAATGCATTTATGTTATTCAGCTTCTATTAGTATTCTCGCTTTAGTCAAAAAATCTAATTAGTAGTTTTACCATGAATTATGTTGGTACGGCACATCCACCGAGAGGAGATGGAAAACCCTGATTCCAAACTAATGGTGCGCATGAGTAAAGGAATACGATGGAAACATATGGCGTGTGAACCTATTCTTGACCACCTGCTATTATGAAACCGCATCTGCTTAATGTACTATACCAGAAATTTGAATTTATAAGAAAGAAAAGTCGGAACAATAAACAGTACTTAACCACCAGATCTATGACAGTCGGTCTGAAGCGTCTGGGAAATTTTAGTGTTCCATGTTGTTTCTCAGAAAGACAATTGGAGTTATGCGAAAACTTATATAGTATACCTCAGATTTGCCTACTTCTTATGTACTACCAACTTACTATCCAAAGGTTTCGATTACACTGCCTTTGTTTCGTCTCACATCGCGCATAAAAGTGATAGCTCATGGTTAGACATATTCAAAATCTTTTCAGTCAACACAAACTTTTAACTTCGTAAGCTTGTTGTCATTACTTAGTTGAAAACCTGGGATTAATCCCCATATAACATTGCAAGGAGAGACCTGCCAAATACTTAAAATGCATACAAACTCCCTGTCTTTTGCCTCATACGACTATACTTAAGAAATGTATGAAAAAGAAAGTACTCTTATATTGCATGCCAAAGCCATGATAGTGAATGGACATCTTGACAAATACTGACTAAGCCTACAATATACGTACAGAGACTTCTGAGTAGATTTGTTTACGAGAGATGGTTATATACTGCGGGGAGTCATTTCAACAAATTAACATTCATATAGGACATTACAGCTACTTTTAAACAAGAATAGAATAAAAGTTTGGGAAGATATACTCAAAGTCAAGCACATTACAAACAGCATAATTTATAAACAACTTACACGACATCCGACAGCAGCTACTGCTCTTGGAGATTCATCAAATAAGCTAGCTAAACTAGGATCTATCGTATCAATCCATAACAAAAGACTGATTTCTAAGAAACGACGAATAGCACATAAACTTGCACGAACAACATGCCACGAAGTCGTATCTTTCAAAGTAGTTGGATTATCCTCTGTCAAACGCAATGGTAGGACACATATCTAAAAATTCAAATAGTCAAGGACAGCATCAATATAATGAGTCTTTTCAATTAATAAATAGCATTCACATGTAAACTGTCATATATATATATCAGTTTGTTAGATGTCCAACACAGTTGAACTGATTGACAAGTGGAAGCAATATAAAACTGTGTCTGCAGTTTCAGGTACAACACTTCGTAACAACAGAGCGGCAAACTAATAATGAACTCATAAAAATAATGTAGAATTAAAATAATAAGATTCTCGGGTTAAGTTTGAGTAAACAGAAAATATTTTTTGCATTGCTCTGATTAAATTTGAGTCAAACCACTGATTATCGAACTAAAAAATTATGCTAAATGTTATGAATTAGCCTTTTATGATTTCTAATGAAAATATATCTGGTGATTGTCCAATTAATGGACACAGTGGTGAGTGATCATGGTATGCAATGAGTAATAACTCCCCACAACATGGAATTTCGACGTAACCCGCCCCCCAAATGATTTGAGATCAAATACAAGATAACCAGTCAGAATAATATGTTTCGTAAGCAATAAAACAACATGTTTATATACGAAATACTAACACAAATACGATTAGCTGTTATAAGTACATTAGATGAAATGAGTTGCGTATGTCACTCACTCTCCAATCAATTAAGACTTGACTGTTAGGTTTGATTCTTGGTCAACACATAATTATTGTCTAGAAAAGTATTTTAAGATGAGTCCCCTAGACTTCAATATTACATGATTAAACGTTGAAGATTGAATAGTAGTAGGTATAGTTGGCTTCATACCTTATATCAGTCGGCATTAATGTACGAGTGATCAATACTGGGACGATAAGTCATTCCTTATCATTATGCAAATAACAAAACTAGACAGAAATAGTAATAGCAAACACCTCTAGTGTTATCTCGTCAGCTGACAATTTTGAATAAAGTCCTTTCAATAACACAGTATACTCGTTCGACGATACTACGGAAGTCAATCACATTATCATGAAATCACAGTGGGTAAGGTCCTGTGCAATATTCGAATTTTTAAAAAACGACTAACAGAAAAGAACTAGTACGTCTACGTATGTTCCAGTAACTTAAGGATGGAGGTGCATGATGCTATATACTTTTACCACTTCCTTTATAACACACAACGAACAAAGCTAACTTACATCATGACGAAGGCCTGACTTATTGACTGTTTAGTCAATTTATTTTTGAAATCATATTTGATTCTCCCAACTTCGAAACAACTACAGACATGCTTTATAAATGCTTACTTTTAAAATCCATTTACAAACAAATATAGATGAGTAAGAACCAATGAGAGCTTAGAGTTTAAGTAGTTACTTCAAATCAAGTGGTAATTTTCCACTAGTCCCATTTGTCATTAACAAAACGAATTTAGGAACTACTAAGTTATATAACATATTTCTATATGATTACGATTAAATTTGAATAAAGAGAAGTGGTTTCTGTAGCTAGACTGTAGGGATGATCATCGTTAAACTAATCTGCTACTAGCCATTCACTACCTATCCAATGCAAACAATTTTCCTAACTGATAAAAAAAGTAATAATTAGCTCTTGAAAGGATAGTTGACTTAATCGGTTAGACGTTAATTATTAATCACATCATTAGCTCCGAACGACCTAAAATTCAATAACTGCATATACAATTTTGCCTAGAATGGATGGAATGTAACTGGCAGTGGAATCTAGGACGCACGTTTTACCCTTTTTAGGGTTTGTCATTTGGATGTACCTGCATCCCAAAACTTGTGTTATAATGTTCGAGTCGAGGCAATTCGTACAGGATGCACATATGCCATTCACGACTGATCGAAATTCAGTCAAAGTATTAACAACAGGATAACTAAACCATTATAAATTAAAGTTGCATATACAATTCTTGTTTCGAGCAAATAAATAATGTTAAATAGTTTCAATGTTTTACATATTAACTTACAGCATTATATAAATATACTAAACCATTCTGTTGTTCAAATCGTCGAAATGTTATACCATAGCATAAAACTAAGTGTAAAAAGAATAATGAATAACAACGAGCTGAAGGATGTGAACATTCAACTAGCCAAAGAGAATATTTAATTAAATCGTCAAGTAGACAACTGGATAACTGACAAACCTGAGAGAAAAAGATAAGAATAGAGAAAACAAATAACGATTAGAAAAGTTATAATAATTGTTATCGGCCAACTACATAATAGGAACATTAAGATTTTTATTATCCACCCGGCAATTTTTGAATTTTTTTTAAAAATCCCCCCACCCCACTGCAAAATTCTTTCCACCCCCAAATTACAATATTTTTCATCCCCTGTTTCGTCCAATGAAATGGCTATTTTTTAAATTCGTCTTAATTGGTTAGTCATGTCTTGAAAATTGTTATAAAATATCAGTACTTGTAGACGAAGTACATTTTAATCGTCATTATGGAGGACAGTAACGTGCCAAGTACAAGCACTGGTGTTTCTCACGTCACGGAAATGGAGGAAGTCTTTTCGACAACCTTGTTTCTGGTTGCGTTCCCATCAGTTGAAGCGTTAAAGGCCGCTATCGCAACTTTCGAAAGATCGACTTACAGTCTCTTTGAATTCTCATTGTTTTGTGTGGCGCATATATATTGGCGCTCTCTTGTACCAATATTTATGTGTTCAAATAAATAATAAATAAATAACCTAATTCATTAATCATTATTATCAAATATTCAAACCGGTTTTCAGTTACTTTTTCCCAAAACTTTCTTTTAATGTGATACATATAAGTATTCGTGGCAACATAACTAACAACTTCAATTGACGGTTGACACTAAATCATTTGATCGGAAATCAAAAATTTATCTCAATACACATTCACTAACACTAGGATTGCACGATTGAGCATTTCAGTTGGTGTTTTTTTCTTGAAAATTCAAATTTTTTTTCAAGACTAAGATTACACAAAAATAATTATTTATTATCATTAGATTTCAAATTTCAAATGCAAACTATGACATCCAATCACAGCACTTGATGCTATTTCGATTTCAACTAATCAGATTGCAAGGATAAACAATTTACGACCAATCACAAAATTATTAAAGGTGACAACATTTTTGTTCATTTTCACTTCAGTACACATTTGCAAAACAAGTAAACCAATCAACAATACCTAAATTTTTCATTCACACCCTACAATTTTTTTTAAAAATGGGTGGTAGGGAATCATATTTGCCGGGCACTTAATGGCAGTTAATGTTCATTAACTTCTGAATTAGATTATTTGATACTCGATTCTGTAGATAGACGGGTGTACAATAGGTCTGATTGACAAGCACTAGTGGAAATGGGGTTTACAGTTACAGTCCTGGGCACACAGGTGGTTGAAAACATAAAATTAATAATCCCAACTACAAATAATATATTTGTAATATCCCAACGAATAAAAAAATTAGATTTTCTGACGTTTCTTGATTCAGTGTACTATTTAAACTTGGATTCATTTTAATTTGGTTGTTTATTCTCTGAAGAAGTGGCTTACATTGAGTCACGAAACGTCAAAAAATCTAATTTTTCTACTCATTGGAATATTACAAATATATGATTTTTATTTATAGCAATCTTCACAATGTTCAATTTATTTGAAATTGTCAAGTCAAACCCCGACAATGATACCTACGATCCCAATTACATCTCTTGTTTTTCTCATTGGAATGTAATAATGAAGTAATTTTTGAAAAAGATTCGGAGATCAATATTGTATGTGTCTAAAGGATACATTTCGGTATAACCAAGTCAATAGTACTGGATATTGATAGACGCTTCCGATTCCTTAATTGAGACATTAACAATCACTGTTCAGAGCTAAAAGATGTAATGTATTTAACATCATGTAGGTATTGTTTGATATACATAAGAGACAATAATAGGAACCGAGACTTCAACAATCACTACAATGAACCTTATGTTCCTCATTTCCATGTTGACTTAATAATAAGTTTGGAAGTCATACTTTCGTTCAAAAGTCAAAAGAGAATATAAATACAAGATTATGAAACAAATAATAAATCATTTGATAGCGTCAATTTTTTGCACTATATGACCACAAGGGGGTATGGTAGCGTGACATAACAGAATGTACAACATCTATTGAGTCCAACAAAGTAATTGATATATACGTTATTAATTAAACAACTACGTGATTCACAGAAAAAAAGCCTTTTATTCATTGACTAAGTAATTTCCACTTCTCCAACGGCTAAATAGAGAATGAGTTAATGTTTTCTTTTAATATTAATACAATAAGTAATTTGATAAAATTTCCAACTGAAATATTGTACATAAATACATTAAACTTAACGGTTAGGAGATTTACAATTCACAATTTTTATTTAAAAATGAACGTAATGTTATGTGGATGAATGTGAATAAATGTAAGACTTACACGTTCCATGGCATCTTCAAAGTAGGCTGTATAATAAAGAACTACACTAACAGCTGTAGCAGCTACTGATGGCCTTGGCACTTTAAGCACAGATTGTAAACCATCTTGTTCAACAAATTCCAAATAAACACATCGATGACAAAGAAGATTAGCTAATAAACGTAACGCTTCAAATGTAAGACGAATATCACGAGAGGCAACTTCTGGCATAAGATAAGTGTAGATCAAATCTAAAATACCCCCGTTATACATGAATGGCATAAGCTAAAAAAAAAAGATTTTGTACAGAAACAGCAACAACAACAATTATAATGCATACAAACTCAATGGACAAGGAAAAATAATGCGATCTAATAACTAATTCAGTCGAAGCTCTTTATCAACTTGTAGCGCGATCAAATTAAACTATTAAGCGTTAATACTAATAAAAATGTCTACATACAGTTCTTAGTTGGATTAATATCTTGAAGGCGGATTGACAATATTTTGTGATTTTCCCTAGATAAGTTATATAGATGAAATAGCATTCATATTTTCTTAGTAAATTTTTTGTCAAAGAAAAAAACTATCCTCCATAGTTTATACGAATATTCGTCAAGATTAGAACGAATAGTTTGACAGAAATTGGGCGCCAGACAAGTTAGCTGGATGAAACGTTGGCATTATTCAAATTTCAATCGCTGAGATTATTTCAAATATAATTTTCACATATCCTTGATAGTGTCAGTCAGTCAGTCAGCTACAACGTAGGACCAGGCACATATGTGCATCGGTCCAGGTTGCCATACCTCATTAGCACAACAAGATGAACACCGGATTCATAGGAGTGGTTAGGTCAAAGGTTGCAATAAGGATATAGTATAGGAAGGAAGAATTAGTTCGTGGAAAGAAAGATATGAAGTGATTTAATCTCTTAGTTTAAGGGAAGACAGGGAGTGTATACACCGACGCCATTGTGATCGATTCTGAGCCATGTCACCAAGAGTCTCCAACCATTGGTTACGATAGTCACGCGGACCCCAACCAAGTAGTCTGCATCTACCAACATGGCTCAGACTAGAAGTTAGTGACTTCAAGCACTGATGCCACGTTTTGGTTTGGCCGCCCCTAACTTTCTTCCAACCAACCCCTACACCGGTTAGCATTGCACGTCGTGGTAATCGGTGTTCAGGCATACGTAATACGTGGCCCAACCATCTCAGTCGATGAAGATTCATAACCTCATCAACTGATTTACCATCATTCCCTAATACCCTGCGTCTAACCTCACTATTACTTACCCGGTGATCCCAGCAGATGCCAGCAATATTTCTAAGGCATCTGTGGTCAAATACTTGTAGCTTACGGGTGTCTTCTACTCTTAAAGGCCATGTTTCGCTGCCGTAAAGTAAGACAGAACGGACTGCCGCGCAGTATACTCGTCCTTTTATTGATAGACGGATATCTCGCCTCCGCCAAAGGTGACGTAAGTTGGCAAAAGCCAAACGAGCTTTTCGAATCCGTGCTGAGATTTCGTCAGACACCAACCCATTAGGGCTGATCAGACTTCCAAGATAAGTGAAGTTGTCAACGCGTTCGACTACTTCACTCCCTATCCTTAGTTCAGGTGTTGACGCAGACCAGTCCTGAAGCAACAACTTGCATTTAGAGGGAGAGAAGCGCATCCCAAACATTCTGGCATTGTTGCTTAGTGCTACCAGAAGACTCTGCATTTTGTCAGCGTCTTCACCAAACAGGACTATATCATCTGCGTATTCTAAGTCGATAAGTGGACCTCCTGGAAGGAGATCAATACCTGAGAATTCAGTCGACGAGAGTGTTATTTCCATCAATAGGTCTATGATGAAGTTAAACAAAAATGGAGAAAGTGGACAGCCTTGACGGACACCACTTGAAGTTGCAAAAGTAGATGACAGTTCGCCATAAGCCCTGACTCGACTAGTAGTGTTCGAGTAAAGAGCCTTCACAAGGTTTATGTACTTCTGAGGTACGCCTTTCAATGACAGACACTGTTATTTTACACCGAACACTTGAAAGCACATCGGATTAGTTTACGCAGATGAAAATAACATATTACTCATTATTTAAACCTGCGGTGGTTTCACTAATAACATACATCCACACTATTTCATCACTTGCCGTTTGTAGCGAATATAACTCCGACAATATCTAGGTCTAATTTCATTAAGATTAGACCTTCATCTATTCAGTCAGTCATCAACAACTGAAGATCTGTAGTAGTGTGAATTAAAACAAGTTGCGATATTTTATACCAGTAAGGTAAGGGAAAGCAGAAAACGCAAAAATGTCAAACGTAGTAGAAAACCAAAAGTTGGAAATTTATTTCAAAAGAAACAAGTGAAACCGAAACAAAACTCCTGAGATAATGATAAAAATCAAGATATAGACAGAGAATAAATCCATCAGATTCAATGAAACAAATTTTTAGTAGTATCATATAAGGATGAAATTCAAGTAACCTAAGAAAATAAAGCTACCAAGACTAAGCAAATGTATGACTACATTACTACAGATTGATCTGTTTCACTTTATAGGATCATGGTTGGTTACATTATGGATTTGGAGAAGCGGATAAATAATTACAAGCCATGGTATTATTTTCATGATCAGATAATTTCTAGGCCTTTATAATCAACGCAGGACCTGATTGAAACGTGCATCAGACACACTACCACACCACAACGACGTTTGTCCGTTATAACCAATGTAGGACCTGTCATATATGTCCAGCGGTTCAAATTGCACTAGTGCATTACCACAAAGAGATGGAATTTTCATAGTTGAAGTAGGGATAGTATTATTGGTAGTAGAAAACAATAGGTATAGACGAAACGATTCAATAAGGATGATTTTGCGAAATAAAAGGTGTGAGATAATTTTAATCTCAAGATCTAAGAGAATACAAAGAGTGAATGTACCCTCATCACTACGAATGACCCAGAATCTGCAACCACTGATTATGATAATTGCACGAACCCGATTCAGGTAGTCTGCACTTAAAGATACTGTTCGGTTCAATAGTCAACACCTTATCGGGTGATCATATGTCTTGGTTTAGCTACACCCTAACTTCCCTCCAACTGACTCTTAACTAGAAAGCATCGCCCGTCGAGGTAGGCGGTTGGGTTTACCTAATACATGTACCAACCACCTTAATAGATGAATACTCATTATGTAGTCAGTCGACTTGCCATCACTTACCCAGTATCGTGCATCTAACAATTTTACTGACTCAGTGATCCCAACACTTACAAGCAATGTTTCGAAGGTACTTATAATCAAATAATAGCAACCTACGAATAGCCTCTACTTTTAAAGGCCACGTTTCACAGATTAGAGACAATATGCTGCTGAGTGTTCCTTAAACATTGGCCCCGAGAATCAGCGGAAAATTCGGTTAGACGGTTTCTCAAGGCGACTGTTGACTGATCGCGGATCAAGCTCGACAGACAACGATGCAAAGTCGTTTTGCATAACACGATTTGAGATTCAGTTTATACAGACATTCAGATATCGTGCCACATTGGCATAAAGACGTAGTGGCATCGATTACTAACCACATGATCCTTGAGGCTGAACATACAATAAATGTGAAGATTCATATGAGCAGTTGAATACTTGGAGAAAGTCAGAAAACGTGAACGTAAGAACACTTAGTTGTGATGGCTGTAGTCGGATGTGTAGTAAACGAAAAGTCATGCACGATAATTCAATTTATTATTTTATGCAAGATCACAGTGTCTTTGTAAAATATGAAAGTCATGAAGTAAATACATCATTTGGACATCTCCCTTCAGTTGTTCTTTACATACTCCATAATTCTTCTAATTCTGTTGTTCCGATTGCTTTCGATTTCTCTTTTTATTTCAATATGCCGCTGGTAAGCATTCCACTTTCTAGTCCTACTATATACTAGTTATACTTGCCCACATAAGAAGCGCATACCATAGATGAACTATCTGCTTTTAATTCCGATTCCAAGATTGTCTTAATCTGAGGCTTGCGTCAGTTCTGATTATTGTCGATTGCTTTCCGAATTAAATGTACGTACGTTTTGGTCTTCTCATTTCGAAAACCCACAATGACGCTACTGTGCACGCTCCTCTAGTAAACCAAGTACCTTATGGCTGGACGCCAACCGCTACAGCACAATGACTTGACTAAACAAGCGTGGTAACTCTACGTAAACTCTTAGTCGTCATGTCAAATATGATATTCTATCCCAAGCCCAAATGTTTTTTAAAAGGTCATTAAATATATTACTGATTATCGCAAAAGGACGATTTAGTATAGAGAATTATGCGAATTCGAAATAAGATCTAATAGATTGAGAAGTCATAATAAGGAGATTTCATAATATCGGATTAGGTCTTTGTTCATAGTGGGATAAGTAAGTGAATTTACACAGGCCTAGATTCAAATGACACGAAGAACAACCCCATGGTCAACTAAGAAACTCACTAGTTGTCATTGGAACTAAAATAAAATTAACAAGATACATAGCAAAGGAGTAGGATAATAATAGTAGAAACGATCAAACGTTAGATAAACGGTTCAAATAAAAGGAATGGACTTGAGGAGTATAAAGTACGAAACAGTTCTGAAACTAAGAGTCAGGGATAAAACGAACCATACATGCATCTAAACTACTGTGTTCGATTTTAAGCCATCACTTAAGGTTTCTAACCATTGAACCTGGTCGTCACGTAAACGGCAAATGTCCATTTCGATAAAGCAATGAGAAGATGGAGTTGCTCTACTGAAATTTATATAAAGGATTAATTGCACTAAATCTTCATTTCTTTATATTCGCTTTATGTCTAAACAAACCTACACAGCTTTAAGGGATAAATCATTTTCTGAACAATTCGTTGGATAATTTAAAAAAAACAAATAAGTGAAGTACACATTTACAAAATGTAATGGGATAATTGAGTAGAAACCAAGTTATTATACACTACTGAATTTAGCACTTATGTGTAGTACAACATGATGATCAAGTTATTCACGAACCGATATTCTTTTCTGGATACGACCAAATTAACAATAACACTTAGAATATCTTTATGGTTGACTAGTATGGGATTATTCTCGTGTCTTAAAAAATATACGAAGGTATATCGCCACACTAATTAACAAGACGCAAACTTTAGAAGAATATATAAACTCAGAAAAGGAAACATACATCCTGATATTCAGCCAATGGGATCAAATAGGCAATTGAAAGCCGAATCTTCATTTCCGTCCTGAGTGGATTCAAAACAAAACTTCCTAATAAATTTGTCATACCACCTTCGTAAGTTGATTGGGTAGCTAAACAACCAAAGGTAATTGATAAAAGGATATAATAAAGTATTACTACTCACTTGAAGATAATTCATTTTTTAATTGACCTGTGTAACTGAGTAGGCGATTTAACACAATTGGAATCTATTATTTAATGGGTGAGAATATTAAAATTAATCAGAAATAATCAGAATACAAACCAATTGTATATTTTTTTGTCGCGTAATGTAGAGTAATTCTGTATTATCAAGAACAGAACCCAGAAGAAACAAAGCATAACAATTAGTTGGCTCAGTTTCACTTAATGCCAACTTGTAGAGTGTATTAATTATTACATCCTACAAAAAATACCCAGTTATAATTAGGCTTTAATCATACCTCCTCATCCAGTGAAAATGACAAAGTCACACCCAATCTCATTGCACAGAGCAGTCGTGATGAAGCAATTACTAATTCGTTTGATGGGTCATTAGAACCCAACAAATAAACATAAGTTAAACGTTCCAGAAAGGCATCGTGAGATGACAGGAGACGTAATATCTGACCTAAATCACAACTAGAATCCGTCCGCAGTGGATGACGATCATCGAAAGGATCAGGATCAGTACTAAAAAATAAGTTGATTTGTTCTTCTAGTAATTCTGAAAAGCTAATTAAATAAAAATAAACATATGGAACATTCTAAATGTTTACTTATTTAACAAAGGAACTGGGTCAAATGTTGGTGAATTTCGTTCAGATTTCCATCGAGAAATAAGTTCTTCACATCTTTGAATAGCAGTTTTTCCTTCACTCATTGTGCAAATTTGTCAATAAATCTGAAGCGAAACGACAGACTACAGTACGGTTAAATGGCAATTCAATAGTTGTAAGAAATATACACAAATATAGAAATATGGTAATTCAAAGTATCTTCAAGTCACTAAATGTATTTAGAAATTCAATGTAAACTAGCCGAATACTTTATTTGAGCATTATAAATACCTTTACACAGAATTGACAGTAGAAAACAGGTTTAAACTCAAACTAAAGGACATAATAACCAATATGAGCGCTGTTAAAAATGTGGCCATGAAGCTTAGCCAAACGAAATCTTGGTCGAGAAAGTACCCGCAAAACATAATCTTGCTGAGGTAATACACGTGTACATGACCTCACATGCTACACCACTAAAAAAACTCGCACAGCTGATAGGACGTATAGACTACCACGCACTCGAGTTCGGAGTGTTTAACATGAGGGAAAACAAATCTACACAATCATATCCTCTCTCCAGATTTGTATCCAGAAACTTACCGATGACATATTTGGAGGGAAACGGTGAGATTGGGTGGTTATGCACTACCTTTGGATTGGAACAACGATAAATAGTTGTATCCTCCAACTCTGTTTGACGTATTTCTGAATACAGCCATGAAAATGTTAGTGAGCCTTTAAAACACACCTTTCGGGATAAATAATTACACAACCCAGTCCTACCCAATGAATCGAAAGCGTCCATTATTCAGAAGAACACAACGATTGCTGACTATAATAAGTATGACTATTCTCAAAATGAAGAAGTGACCAACGCATACGATACTTGAACGGAAACCGTTCTGCTTCTCTCAAATCCACCTTTTGTGAAATAAAATTGCTGAACACAAACTTTGGGGTTATTCGTTCTCGTTTTCTCAAGACTATGCTTTTATATCACAAACTTCGGTGTAGACGCACGAGATCTGTGAAGTCGCCGGAGTGTATTACTTTTAAAACCGACTATTTACACATCCCACATATGAACGTCGTTGAGATCGGAGAACACAATCCTGGACTACGTGTGCAGATTTGATGAGAAATATCGTGCTCTTGTTGTATACTGGCCGCCCTGATACGATAACACAGATATCAAATGTGAGTTGTGTAGTACTTTTCTGCCTGAAAATTTTCGATTTCGCTCTGTCGATTGTTTTAGTAGTAAGGGGGAATGATTTTCAATTAATTGAAAGCAGATATTTGTGTCATGACTCGCAGTTCTGAGACTATAAACTAGATGATACATCATTCATCTATGAATAACCGGATTTATACACTTCAGGTAAGAACTTAGAAAATCACCACTTTCTGTAAGAATTTTTCGAGCAGGACTATGTTTTGCTACTTGAAAATGCTCATCACCCTGAGAAAACCATTAAAACTTCGAAATTATCGACTCCTTACTAAATTCCTTTCTAGTAGTCAAGAGACCCAAAATAACTTATTTATGAAAGCCACGAAGAGAATGTGTAGGAACGCGTTTGTGGAACTTTTCTGTAGCGTTGCTCTATCGTGAATTGGTTGTAAAATTAAATCCATTAGTGCCTTAACTCAATGCAGAAAGTCCTGGAATTACTGAAAGCACAGCATGCAAGGTGAATTTTCACGTTGAGTAACTCCAATGGAAATAGACGACAGGTTGCTTTAAGCGGACCTCTTAACTTGATATCAAAATGACTACACTATAAGACAGAGTAGATACTATCCATAACGAAGAAATCTCACGACGCCCTGAAGAGAATCAAGCCTCGTATTAATACCATGGTAAGCAGCTCATTTAAATAATCATTTGCGTAATTCCTAAACCCCAATGGGTTGACGATAACCCATTATGTTTAACAAATAAACACTACTACAGCCAGTTACTTTGCATACCTAGTCTTTTATCAAAACTAGATGGCAGTATGTGTAAATTGCATCTCTGAGTGCATGGTTATCCATAATCAAAATGCAACACGGTACAAATGTGAACCAGCCCAAGTCGCCACACCAAGTCAGTACAGTGAGATGAAATTTACAACAGGAATAACAAGAAGGTTTAAATAAATAAAGCATCAGTAATATTGAAAAAACCACTGTGAGTATGACTGGAAAAGAATATACGTATGGGGGAATATCGTGACTCAAAATAGAGGGAGTACAGCCGAGCCATTGTTGCCAATTACGAATTATGCCACCTGAGATCAAAAATCGCCAAACCTGGTCATCGTGTAGAATCCGAATTGATTGTCTGCATTTATCAAAATAGCTACGTTGTGAAGTCAATAACTTCATGAATAGATTTTGATTAAACTATTTTTTGAGCTTCAAGCGACGGATCCTCAAGTGTTTTGATGACACCTGCCTCACAGAAAACACCCATTCCACCCAACATTGCACGTCGAGGTAGGCAATAGCCGGGTATACGTAGCCCATGCCTTGGTCATCTCAGAAGATGAAGATTGGGAATTTTGTTAACTGATTTGTTACATAATCTCAGCACACTAAACTTAACATCAACATTGCTTACTCCATTGTCCCAATATACCTGATAAATGCCTAGAGAACTCAAAATCTACGGTGGCCCACAGCATGAACAGACTTACCCTAATATGAAATATTTAGTTAGCGATTAATGAGATTTATACGGTCGTTTGAGGATCAGTCAGTCATCCGAGAAATGCAAGAAAGATATAACCACGTATTCGCAAACTAATTCCTCTTCTGGAAAAAACCTTTTCCGTTGTTATAAGGACAAGCATGAAACTTCAGTAGATGAAATATCCACTCAATAAACTTGGGGGATGAGTATATTCTAGATTCCCATCCTTATATAAGCTCTGTTCAGTTATTAGAACAAGCGCTTTCAAAGTTACTATCATAAACTTTATGACAACACTCATGAGCAGTGAGAAAATCTGCTGGTACTAACATTTACCAATATAATTACAAGCACAGAAATTTAAGGAAGCATGAAGATTAAGGATCAAGCCGACGAACAAATATAGTAAAAAAGCATTAGATTATAACAACCATCAAAAGTCTAACAAAGCACTAACGAAACAAGAACTAATGATGAAAATATCTGCTAGGCAGATATTTTTTCTTCAGCTAATAAGGGATAGATTGGACGGTATTGTGAAAGTTAAACGGTAATTGTGGTACTCTCAAAGATAAAAATCACAGAACATTGTAATTCTGATTAAATACTACGTTAAGGAACATAGTTACCTCCAACGGGAATAACACACTAGCATGTGCCAAAATCAGTCGTAAATTCCGGGTACAATTTACAAAAATCTCCAAGTTGTGTTTTTAAATGTTATTTAACAAAGATATCAACGCTAATGATGTAAAGATAAATATTTTAATAACGTTGTTTAAGTTACTAATGTACTTTGAAGGTCAAAGACCATTATCTATATACTCAGGAATACGTTTACACTACTCATCGAACGCCAATGCATTTCATTCATTTCACGAGTTCGCGAGAGGTTTGAAAAAATTTTTGACAGTGCTGCTTCTAGTAGATTATACCCATATTTTCCAAAACTCGAAAATAAGCTGACGTTATTGGACGAATGATGAAATTTTGGGTGAGTTAAATTGACTGACAGTCTTATCCATGCGTGTGAAAATGTTCAAAAAATTTCTTACCCAAATATATGAATATTTGGACGGGAGGCAATTTTTCGATCGTGGGGCCAGTTAAATGTTTGTGTCATGTCATCCGGCAGTCGGATCCCTGAATATCAAACAGTTCACCGATCCGCGTCAGTGTTTAGTACAACCGACGCGCAGCAATCAGTTGTAGGCCGTGAACTGGCTCATGTGGTGGTGGTCACACTCAGTTTCTTGTCCCTATCATCACCAATATATATATGTAATGGCCTTGTTTATGTTACGCAGTCGCTAAAGTAGCCATTGTGCCCAAATACGACGAAAAAATGATTAACGTTCGGTATTAACCGTGAGCTAAGTTTTTGACATTAGCTGACTGATCACACCTTTCCTGTCTACCGCGAGTAGGCCTCCACTTATCGTCACAGATAACCAACGTTTGTAATATACAAGGCCCATCAGAAATTTTGTTTGACATGAAAAATTCAGTAGCGACTATACAGTTTCGTTCAGGTGTTTACTCACGTGCCTGTAGAGTCATTATGAAGTCAGTCGAACCATGAAAATTTCTATTCAGCACTAATAAAGGAAATTCAACGCCAAAACGATATGTACAGTTATAGAGGACACATTTTCAGTTGGAAATCAGTAATATGTCTTACAAAAAGTTCAGATGCTGTGCAATGAGATAAACTCGATACAAAACACAAACACGAGGAACAAATGAATATTTATTAGAAACGTGATTGAAAACTAAAAAACAATGTTGGGACTCAGAAAAATTCAATTAACTATTAAACGCTGTAAACACATGAGGACGACTTATTTGAAGAACTTAGGATGACCGGAATTGGCGATTTTTGATCTCAGGTGGCATAATTCGTAATTGGCAACAATGGCTCGGCTGTACTCCCTCTATTTTGAGTCACGATATTCCCCCATACGTATATTCTTTTCCAGTCATACTCACAGTGGTTTTTTCAATATTACTGATGCTTTATTTATTTAAACCTTCTTGTTATTCCTGTTGTAAATTTCATCTCACTGTACTGACTTGGTGTGGCGACTTGGGCTGGTTCACATTTGTACCGTGTTGCATTTTGATTATGGATAACCATGCACTCAGAGATGCAATTTACACATACTGCCATCTAGTTTTGATAAAAGACTAGGTATGCAAAGTAACTGGCTGTAGTAGTGTTTATTTGTTAAACATAATGGGTTATCGTCAACCCATTGGGGTTTAGGAATTACGCAAATGATTATTTAAATGAGCTGCTCCCCATGGTATTAATACGAGGCTTGATTCTCTTCAGGGCGTCGTGAGATTTCTTCGTTATGGATAGTATCTACTCTGTCTTATAGTATAGTCATTTTGATATCAAGTTAAGAGGTCCGCTTA